TTTGGGCCATGGTATGGCCAGGAAGCCATGGATCCGTGATTTCTGTGGTGGATGCTGTGCCCCTGGACATGATGTGTAATTTGAAAGTGAGTTTGGGCTGATCTAGTGCAAAAATCATGAGGATTCATGAGGATCCGTGTTTTTTAACCATGTTTTTGCGCCATTGCGGCACCACTGAAACAGTGGATGCGTGATTTTTTTGGTTCCTCCTACCGACTAAGATGTGGTCTACAGTATCATGGTGTTTTTATTTTGTTTCAATATAAAAATCATATGAATTCATGAGGATCCGTGCCTCGGATCCATGTTTTGTGGTGCTGCAGCGCGGTAAAGTGTTGGATCCACGTTTTTTATAGTCCAGTTTGTAGGCGTGCCTTCTAGGTGTGATTTGACACTGCATTTGTTGGAATTATTTTTTAAAAAGTGGAGGATCCATGAGGATCCGTGTAGATCCGCCTTTTATGCAGACCCAGAGAAAAATGTTTTAGGCGAGGACACAAAAGAAACTTGCCCTCTCTGAGGATCGAACTCAGGACCTTCAGATTATGAGACTGACGCGCTGCCTACTGCGCTAAGAAGGCACCTGATAACAGCAAGGCAGCTTCGATCTGAAAGGATACAAAAGCTGCCAATCAAACATCAAAAGTACCACGTATAAAGCATTACCACTTCTCTATATTTAGAAAGCGCACAATTTGGAACCCTAAATAAGGCTGCAATCCTAATCTGAGAGTAAGATCTATTGAATTCAATAGGATTTACTTCTGGACTCTTAAATTATTCTATTGTCCTATTTAATACTTTCACAGAGCAACCCTATGCATGATTGCTCAGAAATAAGTCCCACTGAATTCAAAGAGACTTCCTCCCAGGTAACTGCGCATAAAGATTTGTGTTAAAAAGCTGACGGCGAATAGGTCGAAGGCAATCTTTTTTTGTTTGGATCCTGTGGACAACATGACCATGACTATGGTCGTAGCCAGGATTTATGTTGGGGGGACAAGAGGCAGAAGGGAGAGTTGCGGGAGAGGCAGAAGATGAGCAAATTCTAGAATTAGAGACATTAAAAGAAAAATAGTTAGGTCCACGAAAGCTTATCCCAAAATCTCTTTATTAGCCTTTATGGTGCTCCCTGAAAAGGGAGGGGGGAGAAAGACGAATTTCCTGGTTACAGTTGCCTCATTTCTTTGACGGAAACTTCCGTAATTGGATGTGATTGGTCCAAATTCTTTTTTCAAAAGTCCCGCGCGTTTTACGATTGGTCCAAACTGTTTTCAAATTTCCCGCGCTAAAATACTAGCCAATTAAGTCCCTGCCGCTTCGGCTCCCTTTTCTTTCTACTGTACTCCTGGAAGCGAGGAAAAGATTCTGATACATTATAACATCAGAACTTTTGTGCCGAACTGAAAACTTGAATCAGATTCAAGTGTTACTTGGGTATCAGTTGTGGAGTTTATTTGTTACAGTAATGTACAAAGCTCCCTTTCCGTAACAGTGTATTCAACCTGCCTTCTTACTGGAAACATTGCTCCCCAAAGTACAGCTCTTTGTGTTACTGGTGTATTTTAAAAAAAATTCACACCCGCCAATCTCAATGAACTACATTTAATGTATTGTTCGGGGAAGATACCGCAGCCAGCTATAGCGGCCGTAAAACCCATCTAAGCAAGACTCGCGAACGGGAGGACCATAATTTTATAAACTACTAACTCTTCCTCAAGGCTTCGCAAGGGTTTTTACATTTCACAAGTAGTCAACTCATAAGAGAAAAATCAGCTCTTTTTATGAAGTTGTAGGTGGCTCTTAAAAGAGCCTTTGGGTTGGTTGGGCTTTTTTACTTTTTAGAAACTGTCTTACTGCCTCCTTACTGCTTTATTTTCCTTTGGCCTTGTGGCTCTCGGTCTTCTTGGGCAACAGCACAGCCTGGATGTTGGGAAGGACGCCTCCCTGAGCGATAGTGACTCTGCCCAGGAGTTTGTTCAGCTCCTCGTCGTTGCGGATGGCGAGTTGCAAGTGGCGAGGGATGATCCTGGTCTTCTTGTTGTCCCGGGCAGCGTTGCCGGCCAACTCCAGGATCTCAGCAGTCAGGTACTCCAGCACAGCAGCCAAGTAGACGGGCGCTCCGGCTCCGACGCGCTCTGCGTAGTTCCCTTTGCGCAGAAGACGGTGCACACGACCCACGGGGAACTGCAGCCCGGCACGAGAAGAGCGAGTCTTGGCCTTGGCCCGAGCTTTCCCTCCTTGCTTGCCGCGTCCAGACATGGCGATGACGTTGAAAGTATGCACACAAACAAACTCCTCCGATGCTGAATGAAGCAACTGTGCTCGATTCCGCTCCTTATATACTTTCCCCTGGTTTTGAGACTGCACGTTCTGATTGGTCAGCCTCTGGAACTCAATGCCCAATGACCGTGCAGGTTGCCAGCGGCAGAAGGAATTCTGAAACGCAGCCAATGAGAGAGGACGGCGGGAAACGGTTGGCCAATGAGAGCTCACCGGCGCTCAGAGCAAAATTCCGGACCCACGCCCCTCTCTTTTTCTTTTGCGTCAGCAAGGAGTGTAGCCAATTGTGACAAGAGCTTTTCGATACCTCATTTGCATAAGCGTCCTATAAATAGGAGAGCTCGCAGCGCGGCTGTTACTCGACTTTTTTTTCCTTCGGTGCTGTTGGTAGAAAGTTGGAAGATGCCTGAGCCAGCGAAATCCGCTCCAGCGGCCAAGAAGGGCTCCAAGAAGGCTATCACCAAGACGCAGAAGAAGGGCGACAAGAAGCGCAAGAAGAGCCGCAAGGAGAGCTACTCCATCTACGTCTACAAGGTGCTCAAGCAGGTCCACCCGGACACGGGCATCTCGTCCAAGGCCATGAGCATCATGAACTCCTTCGTCAACGACATCTTCGAGCGCATCGCGGCCGAGGCTTCCCGCCTGGCGCACTACAACAAGCGCTCCACCATCACCTCCCGGGAGATCCAGACCGCCGTCCGACTCCTGCTGCCCGGAGAGCTGGCCAAGCACGCCGTCTCCGAGGGCACCAAGGCCGTCACCAAGTACACCAGCTCCAAGTGAGCTTCCCCGGAGAACTGATTATTGGGCTTCCCAAAAAGAAAACCAAAGGCTCTTTTAAGAGCCACCTACTTTCGCAGTAAAATGAGCTGGTATTGCTAAGCATCGCCTCTTTTGGTTAACCAGAGAGGCTAAATAGCTTGGGACATGACTTGAAGGTAGATCTGTAGTGGTAAATTTTGTTTCATGCTACTTGAAAAACTTAAGGAATTGCGCTATAGAGTTTCTGGAGCGTTTTCTGTGCTGCTTGGTTTCAGATTCCACTCTGCAGTGGGGGAAATGCTGCCAGGCAGAAATTTACTGTCTTACTGATTTGTAGAATGTTAAATCTTATTCAACATACAGGTCCCAGGAAATCTTGTAACTACCCCATAACTCAGGATGTCAGCCTAAATGTGCAAATAGGTTGGCTCTAGCTTTGTTTTTTTCTTCAGTACTTAGCAATGTCCCTGCCATCTCTGACTTTTTGAGCCCTACCTACTGAAGACTTTAAGTAGAGATCTTCCCCAGTCTGTATTTGAATTCTTTTTAGGTGTTTTATTTACCGGTATTTTATCTTTTATGTGTTTGCTGCCCTGGGTTTCTCTTGGGAGGCAAGATAATTATAATTTATTTCACAACATTTATGCACCACTTGATTGTAGTAAAACATCCAATCAGTTTACAAAATGTTTAACAAAATTATCAGTTTAAAAGTATCTAAACATCCAACAAATAATTAAAATCAATAATAAGCTAAAAACAAACCAAATTAAAACAAATGTTGACATCTGACATGTCTCAATAGGCTTGCCTGAATAAAAAAATCTTTTTATTTATTTATTTTTTAAAAAAATAATATTTATTCCAAATTTAAGATTACAAAAAAGAAACAGAAAAGCCATAAAAAATACAGAGAAAACTTTAACCATAACAAAACATAGAATGAACAAATAAAAAAAGGACAATAAAGTAGAATATAAAAAAGACTTAACAAAAAATATAAAAATGCCTTGAGTTAAAATAAGACAAAAAACAGATTAAACCTTTACTTAGCCTTTTTCCCTTTACTTATTTCCGTGACCTCCTCTCACCTCCCAACTTTGTATTCTAGTTCAGATCGTATTTCCAGCAAATCCTTCTAACCTTTTCATTTACGTATTTTAAAATTAGAATAATGTAATTAAACCTCCTCTATTTCATCGATTTCCATACCTCATTTTTACTTAGTCCATTATATCATATCTGCCAAAACGACCTAATATTCTTTTTCCAACCTCTTTCTAACATTCTTTTATATTACAGTATTTTTGAAGATATATTTTAATTTTTTTCCAGTCTTCTTCCATCGACCCTTCTCCCTGGTCTCGAATTCTGCCGGTCATCTCAGCCAGTTCCATATAGTCCATCACTTTCATCTGCCATTCTTCTCGGGTGGGCAATTCTTGTGTCTTCCAGTACTTCCCAATAAGTATTCTTGCTGCTGCTGTAGCATACATAAAGAAAGTTCTATCCTCCCTTCGCACCAATTGGCCGACCATGCCCAGGAGAAAGGCCTCTGGTTTCTTCGGAAAGGTATATTTCAATACCTTTTTTAATTCATTATATATCATTTCCCAGAAAGCCTTAATCTTTGGGCACGTCCACCAAAGGTGAAAAAATGTACCTTCAGTTTCTCTACATTTCCAGCATTTATTATCGGGCAAATGATAGATTTTTGCTAGCTTGACTGGAGTTAAGTACCACCTGTAAATCATTTTCATTATATTTTCTCTTAAGGCATTACAAGCCGTAAATTTCAAACCTGTGGTCCATAACTGTTCCCAGTCAGCAAACATAATGTTATGTCCAAAATCTTGTGCCCATTTAATCATAACAGATTTAACCGTTTCATCCTGTGTATTCCATTTCAGCAGCAAATTATACATTCTTGACAAATTCTTAGTTTTAGGATCTAACAATTCTGTTTCCAGTTTTGATTTTTCCTCCTGGAAACCAATCTTTTTATCTAAATTAAAAGCCTCCCTTATTATAAAAAAATCTTTTTAGCAGGTGCTGAAAAGAGTTCAGTGAAGGCACCTGGTTGATGTCAAAAGGCAAGGAGTTCCAATGTGTGGGTAATCGTTTTTAGAGGTAAATACTAATTAGTAGAGGTCCAGAGTGACTATATAATTTGGGAGGGTTTAAAGCTCTTGAGGAAATAACAGAAGAGCCTGGTCAGGTTAAAGGTCTATTTGGCACAGCATTCTGCTCCCCACAGTGGTCAGCCTGAAGTATTCAGCAATCCCTTAATAAACAGTGCCCTAAAACAGCACTGCTACTGTCTTATTTGGCAATCATTCATAGCCAAGTAAGATTGTCTTCCATGAACACAGTCTTAACAGTGAGTCCTTAAGTGACTGCGGAGGCCAATGCTGGATCCACACATCCTTCCACAGTGGGAACATAGATTTCCAGGCAGGAGTTGATCATGGTGAGAGTTTGCCAAGCGTGCCTTCCTCTTAGTGCGTTTCTCCCTTGCGTCCTGAGTTTGAATGTCTTCCAAGCCCATGACACCTTTGCTAAAGGTTGTTCTCCAATTGGAGCACTTGCAGGCCAGTGTTTCTCAGTTGTCAGTGTCTATACTACATTTTTTTCAGATTTGCCTTGAGAGAGTCTTTGAGCCTCTTTTGTTGACCACCAGCATTATGCTTTCCATTTTTAAGTTTGGAATAGAGTAGCTGCTTTGGAAGACGATGATCAGGCATCCGCACAACATGACCAGTCCAACAAAGTTGATGTTGAAGAATCATTTCTTCCACACTGGTGATCTTTGCTTCTTCCAGTACACTAATATTAGTTCACCTGTCTTCCCAAGGAATGTGTAAAATTTTTCGGAGACACGGTTGATGGAATCTTTCAAGGAGCTGGAGATGGCATTTGTAAGTGGTCCATGTTTCACAAGCATACAGTAAGGTTGCTAGTACAATAGCTTTGTAAACAAGCATTTTGGTTTCCCTCTGCATGTTCCTAAAACAGCACTGCCTCTGTATTTCCTCGCTATCCCCACTCCCATAAGAAAATATATGCCATATCTGAAGCTGGAGATTCCATTTAGTTGCCATAACTGGGTGCCAGTGTCAGGCATGTCTAAGCCACTGATAATCTATCACCACATTTATGGTGATGAATTACACAAACCGCTGGACTTCTGTTTGTCCTGAATCTACCGCTGATCAGTTTCAATGGGTGGTTTTCATGTCTACCTTTATGAGACAGGGAGAAAGGACATCTTTCAGCTGCTTTGAGAAACAGCTGCTTGGAGGAGATGGAAAAAAGGTCCATAAACCAGCAGCCCGGCTAGCTCAGTCGGTAGAGCATGAGACTCTTAATCTCAGGGTCGTGGGTTCGAGCCCCACGTTGGGCGGAAATTTTGGAGGATGGGGAAAGGCTGCAACTCAGGTCCTGGGTTACATCCTTGACATCTCAGGCTAAAACTAGTAAAGGACTCCCATACCAGAAGCCATGAAGATATTGGAATTGGCATTGCTGACCAATGGTCTGATCTGGTAGAAGGGGGCTTATTCCTACTACCTAGGGTGATATATACGAATCTTTTTGCAGAGAAAATCTAAATGCGTCCCACAGTGAAATGTTTGGCTTAGCTCAGGGGCAAGGAGCCTGCGGCCTTCCCATCTTGTTACGGGACTCTTATCCACCCCAAACAGCATGTCCAACAGGCGGGAATTGCATCTGGAAACCAAAATCTGAAAAGCCAACAGCTTTCCACACCCTTGGATTAAATCTGTACATGCTGTATAGAACCTTTTCTGTAAACCTATTGCTTAGTGTGAAAGTGACAAAGGAGGTCCTTCTCTCAGCACAGGGAAGGCTTAAAACATCACTTAAACACGAAAAAGCATGGAGGCTGTTTCAAACATGCCTCTGAATACCAGTTTCTTGGAGCTACAGAAGGGGAGAGTGTTGCTTCACTCAGGTCTTGCTTGTGCGCTTATTCACGTGGGAAGAAGATGCTGGAATAGATGGACCATTGGCTTGATCCAGCTGAGTTCGTCTTACGTCCTAACCCCCCACCCCAAATTATACTTTCTTTTTGAGCTGCTAAGAATGGGTCAGCAAAAGACGTGTTCAGCAGCCTCTGAAGAAGGCATTAACTTTACGCATAAATATCTTAGTTTAGAAATACACTTTTTTGTTTTTGAAAAATATAATGCCCTCTCTGAGGATCGAACTCAGGACCTTCAGATTATGAGACTGACGCGCTGCCTACTGCGCTAAGAAGGCACTTATCACTAAAAAGTCCCAGTAAGCCTGACCAGGATGTAAATTTGCTATTTTAGTAAATAATTAGCTAACTGGTATTTGTTTCGTTTGAAGTTTGGGAATGACGTCGCGTTTATAATCTGAATTATCTCCCTACACCGAAAACGCAACAGATCACAACGGATATAACGAACATATTACAACGGAGTGGAGGGCCTCTATTATAACCACAGAGCGGGAAAGAAATTAGTTTTATGCACCAGAGATAGGCGTCTGAAGAAACACCCATTGGATTACACAATACAGTTTCCCATTCAGTTCCCTGCAGGATTTTGTCAAAAAATAAATGAAAGCATGTGAAAATCGGAGAGAATTAACAATATTGCATTGGAAAAGGTTCCAAAAAAAAAACAGTTGGCCCGTACGGGGATCGAACCCGCGACCTTGGCGTTATTAGCACCACGCTCTAACCAACTGAGCTAACCGGCCAGTTACGAAAAAGTTGTTTCCTGGATAGCTGTTGAATGTAATAGGGGATGTTAAAATCGTGAAAGTGAACGCTAGATGGCGAAATCACACTACTGAATTTTACTCTCGCCTATCAACACACGCCATTATGCTTACATAAATAGAGCACTCCATATTCCTATTTCAGGCTTTATTCCAGATCAAACAAATCAACCAGGAAGTCGAATTTCACATTTGCCCGAAACGTGGGGCAAAACGGGAGAGAATGAGAGAGAGGAAATGATAAAACACCGAAACAGAATGATTTAAGCAGTTACATTCTGTGCTGATCTGCAAGCTGCTTAGTCACATACAGTAATAATGATAGTAATTTTGGGGGTATTAAAACTGCAGTTAACTGCGATAGCGGACAGGGGTGTGTGAATTGTAGGCAATCAATTTTCATTGAAGGATAGCTATCCACAGTGCGCCCAAAAAGGAGAAGGAGAAGAATACAGTATCTCCAGCCCGTTCTTTGGGAAAGGCACCAAAAATAGTTTTTTGTCAGAAGTGGGATTCGAACCCACGCCTCCAGGGGAGACTGCGACCTGAACGCAGCGCCTTAGACCGCTCGGCCATCCTGACAGTTGTTGGCCACCCTTTCCTGTGTTGCAGTATTAATAATTTGTTATTATGTAATTCTGTTCAAGTTTTAAACCGATAAAATATGTATAATAATCATTGAACCACTGGGTTAACAAATGACTGTCTCTCTCTTCTATCTCAGAACTATTAGGGCTCTAAGTTAGCGGCACCAACCTGGAAGGCTTTGAACGATGGTTAGTCGCAGTGGCTACGTTCTCTGTCCGCTGTTGGAGGCAGTGGGTCTAGTTCCTGAGAATCACAAGTGGGGAGAATGCTGTGCAACCCCCCACCCGAGCCCCTCCCCACCTCCTGCTTTTGGGCTTCCCATGGGCCCCATGGCTGGACCAATGTAAGGACAGGTTGCCGGACAAGGTGGGCCACTGGCCCGATGCAACAGCTGGGCTCTTCTTGTGTTCTTACCTTTCCGGGAGGAAACAAAGGGAAGGACAGTGTGCCAAGAACCTGCAGGCTTGCTATGCCAAAACACACTACACTACTCCTGAAACAAGGCACTCTCAGAGCCCGGATAGCTCAGTCGGTAGAGCATCAGACTTTTAATCTGAGGGTCCAGGGTTCAAGTCCCTGTTCGGGCGGCTGAATTTTTTTAAAATTCTTTTTTGTTTGTTTTGTATGTTTGTCTTTTACCTTTCTTAAGGAGATTGCTTTGAATCCTCTCCAAATAGCAAAGAAATTTTAAAAAAAAAAAATTCAAAGAAGTGCCCTTTTCGATAATCAAGTATGTTTTGTTCTTTCATTTCCGTATCTGGCTAAGCAGCCCCTCCCCCTCCTTTGCCTAACTAAGCATGTATATAGAAACACAAGAAACACATTTTAAAAATTATGTTGGAAGTTGGCCGTTGGAAGGAGACCTCTTTTAACGATGAATTTCATCCTAACGCCGTTCAGCTCAGCTTGCGCGTTCATAAGTATCTGCTTTTATAAACCGCAAGGCTTGGCTTGCAACCATTTGTGATCACAGTGAATTGCAAACGTAGCAATTAGTGAATCCGAATGATTTTTTAAAGCATCCTTTCCTTTTCTTCTTGGATCACATTTCATTGGGGCTTGTTTTTAAAAAGCTGCGGGCTTGTTTGCACCTTTGCTGTCAGAGCATATCAAATTAAACTGTGTGAAGGGGGTCCCCCATCGAATACTATCACGGGCCATGAGCTTGCAGCGAAATCTTAAGCAAGCTTACTCAGAAGTAGATCTGGCGTTCAGTGAGGATACGTAAGTGTCAGGTTTTGAGCTACAAAGTCTCTTTCTGATATATATATATAAAATCGCATTTGGGTGATGCCCAACTCACAATGCAAGCCTCAGCCATGTCTACTGCTCAGAAGTAAGTCCTATTTAATTAAGTGGGGCTGCTTCACCCCCATTTACGCGGGAGCGAGCCCCGTAGAATGCAATAGATTTTTAAATGCATTTTAAAAAATGCTTATATACCGCAATTTCATTCAAAAAACAACACAAAGCGATTTACCAGAATTATATATACAATTTAAAAAAAAACCACACAAATCAACGGCTAACTATTACAGAAAGACATATTTTTCAATACCTTTTATGAGTAATCATAGTTAAGTTTGCACTGCTCGAGTGGACGCTGATATAACCCATTGATTGGCGTCTTCCTTTCCCTGAAGGGGAAACAGAGTTATTTAAACAAAAGACTTCTGTCTCCAGACATCTAAACTGGAAGGTATTGCAGCTATTTGAGACTCGAATTGCCTGCATATTAATTTCAAGGAGGTATTTGTCTTCTTCCACATTGCTACCAAATTAAAATGTCACCCTAAAAAAAAAAAAAAAAAATCAAGCTTAGCAGAGGATGGTTTCGATCCATCGACCTCTGGGTTATGGGCCCAGCACGCTTCCGCTGCGCCACTCTGCTCCATGAGGCTAGGGTTTGCATTACATTCCTAAATAGTCGTTGCTGCGTATTACAAAGCAATGAAAGACTGTCAATTGAAATAGGACCATGGATTTGAAACGATGCGGTGCATTTTAGAGCCAGCGAATTTTGACAAGCAATTCTGGGTCTAAAACATATTGACTTCCTCACCTTTGCATACTGATGGGCATTGGGAGGGGGAAGGTTGGCTTTGAATTGAATTTGCAAATTCCCCAAATGTGAGGTGCTAAAAAGTTGAAAGATGACTTGGCAATACAAAAGATATTGGTTATATTAATATAATTTAGGGTTTTTTTCTTGGTAAGTAAAATGCATGTAAACTTGCATGGAAATATTTAAAAATGATTGCTCAAAATATGCAGTTATATTATATATCCATATATCTTTATATCTATATATCAATATATATAGATATAGATATATAGATATATTCTTTATTTATTTATATTATTATTATTCAGCATTACCTGACATTTTCAGAAGTTAAAATTAAAATTCTTTGGTTCCCCAAAAGCAGTTTATATGCTTCCTCATCATTTACCAAACTAAATGCTGCCCAATAGCAGATTTGAGTTCTTCCCAAGCAAAAACATATTTTTAAGACCCCCTTCACTGACAAATCTTGCGAAAATTAAGCTTCATCCCCTAAAATGGCATGGACTAGGCTCACATTCCTTTGGCGCCACTCTTGAATGCAGCCGCCTGTCACTGCCAGTGCCGGTTTTCTGTATTCATACAAGGCAACAGCATACTGGCAAACTCAAAAGTGTTGGGTCCCTTCATGAGAATTGCAGCCACAGCTGTTCTAAGATCATACAATAATCTTCTAATTATACATTTAATAAAAATTAGGAGTGTGTTGCAACAATCCAGGCAGATCTCCATGTGTTGCCCTTCAGCTTGATGTACTATTTTCTGTGCGCATACATGATTTGGAGTGCTCCAATATCTTATTTTGGAGTGACTTTAAGTTGTTTTCCGTAAATCTCCACTTTAAGTAACAGATCTTGAAGTACCTTCTTCTGAAACTGAAGCACCTTGTATTTTCAGTGTTCCCAAATGCTTAGCTTTGGGGCATATAGTGGCTAAAAAGATCCCTTTTCATGCTGGCTGATAGGATAGGAGTCAGGAATACAATGAAATATGCGTAGTATTCCCCACATGAAGTGTACATTGGGGTCATCAACATTGTGGTGAATTGCCTGAATTTTCCAAGCATGAATCCCGATGTAGGGGGGGGGATCCACAAAGGAGGTATCAGCAGGCTCATGTGAAATCCCAGGTACGTAGATGTACAAAACAACTTTAGGGGAGAGACTTCGTCAGCCAAGGCCTCTTTGCACCTGCCTTGCTCCACCCTCTAGTCTCGGCTTCTCAAATTTTTTTGTTTGTTTTATTGATTATAGTTTAGAAATTATTTATTGTAACTGTTGAGTGGATTTCTGTTTAACTTTTATGTGTTGATATTATTATTATTTTATATTACCCTAATGATTGTTGAATGTTACTTTTGTGATGTAGGTTATTTTAAAGTTACGTTTTGTGTTGTTTTTATGGTGTTAGCCGCTCTGAGCCTGGCCTCGGCTGGGGAGGGCGGGATACAAATAAAAATTTATTATTATTATTAGAAAGAAAAACTGAGGGGACCACAAAACACCGATGAGGTCTGGACATGCTCAGTAGCTGTGGAAAGTTGACCAACTGCTGCAGATCAAGCGAAGGGAGGTAATGGCATCCTGAACAAGGGCTTTCCACACTGCAACATTTTCTTGCAGGTCCCACTCATGAACCTCAAAACTGCACATAGGACCATTTATAAGCAGAGGTTTTCCCTAGTCATCATTTCTCACAATGCACAAAAAAATTCTCACAAGTGCCAAAAATCTGTAGAGGATCACTGCTCAGTTTCAGGTACTCCAAATTCCCAGTTACCACAGACACATGACTGTTCTTTAAATAATGTATTTCAAAAGAAAAAAAGAGAACAGTAAAAAGGGTTAAAATGAGAGACAACCCCCCACACACAAATACAGTGGTACCTCGGGTTACATACGCTTCAGGTTACATACACTTCAGGTTACAGACTCCGCTAACCCAGAAATAGTACCTCAGGTTAAGAACTTTGCTTCAGGATGAGAACAGAAATCGTGCTCCAGCGACACGGCAGCAGCAGGAGGTCCCATTAGCTAAAGTGGTGCTTCAGGTTAAGAACAGTTTCAGGTTAAGAACAGACCTCCAGAACAAATAAAGTACTTAACCCGAGGTACCACTGTACACATTCCAAAGCTCCGCAGACACGCTACTTCTCTTAAAATAAGACATACATAATATATATTACAAAAAGTTAAAAAGGAAGCAGAACAAGAAATATCCTCCTCAAGGACTGTCTTTCCGTGATTCCCCGGGCACCGAAATATGTGCCAAGCTGCGGCACTGGTCTTCCAAAACGCCGCGGAACACCTCAAAGCGGTGGTTCAGGTCCTTGCAGCGGTGGATGTGGTAGTTGGTCCCCAGGGCGCCGTGAGCGGACGGCACGCCGTAGAAAACCCGTCCGATGCGCGAGTGCACCAGAGCCATGGCGCACATCACACACGGCTCCCGCGTCAAGTACATATCGTAGCCGGTGCAGATGTAGGGGAGCCCATCGCCCGACGAGGAGGAATGGCCTGAGTCGCCATCCGGCTGAAAGAAGGTACAGGAAGGGTAATCTTTATAACCGTACGCCCCACCTCCCTGGCTGCAGGCCACCAGGTCGATGCAAACCATAGCAGCGTGCAGCAACGGGTTGAAGCCTTTCCTGCAGTCATGCGCCGCCGCCAGAACTCTCCCAGAAGCTTGGTCAACCACCACGGCCCCCACTGGCTCCATGTTGAGCCGTGCACCTTCTCGCGCCGCTTGGACAGCCAGCTCCATATGGCTTTGCATGGCGGCCTTTTCCGAGGGAGTGAAGAGGCAGCCGCTGAGAGCCCGGCTGATGCGCTTGTTCTCATGGAAAGAGACAGGCCAGTGCGAGGAGGCTTCCTCATACTGGGGGCGGGTCAAGGGCGGGAAGGCTGGCACCAGGGTCAGAAAAGGCTCCCCCAAGCCACGCGGGTCGACCTGGCCATCGGGGAAAAGGGCAGCAAGGGACTGCGAGCCATCCTGCTCCAGTCTGGGGCTAGCCAGGCACAGGATCATCTCCAGTGGGTGGGCGCTCTCCGCGGAGACGCAGGGACGGACGCGTTTCAAGTGCGGGTGGTCCCCCAGTGGGTAGGCGGCAGAGACCTCCCTCACCAGGCGGCAGGCCTCCTTCTTGTCCAGGATGGGTGCAGCAAAGGCGGGGATTAGAACCACACTCTGGGATTCCCTCTCAGAAAGAACAGGAAGCACGTCCCATGTGGAGGCCCCGTTAAGCTCCACCGTTTTCCGGCGCTTGCAGCCTGGCTCCATTAGGATGGGCGCATCCCTGGCATGCTCTCTGGATGGCGGGGTGAAGGAAGAGGAGAGCTGGTTATCAAAAATGCACGAAGTCTACACCACCTATGCAGTTGCTGCAGTCTTCCCCTCCCTCTTTGCATTAAGAAGCTGCATGTCATGATCATTATTATGTATGACTTCTAAAGGGATGTAAGTGGGAAGCCTGACCTAACTATGCCTGCGAGCTCACAATCAAATAACTAGATTACTGAAAAGGAGTCCGAAGCTATTGTTCTTGAAAGATAAACATTTGGAAATATCAATGCATCGCTAGAGCTCATCGAGTTACCAAACGCTGGCACAGGCTCTCTTAGTCAAACCTGTTAAAATAACTATAAGCAGAACAAGTTCTGCCCATTTCAACACACAGGCAAACACACACGCAGTGTTTTATTTTATAACCAGACTGATACTAGGACTTCAGGTTCTCAAATGTGGTGGGAGGGATTGTGATGATTCAGCCAAGGAAGGAAGTCGCTCTGCACATGCTCAGAGGTACTCTTTAGGACTGAGCCGCATGAGCCAGAGCGGTGGGAGAAGCTGAGCCCATGTGCACCTCTTTTCTTGCTCCAGTTCACTCACTGAAGAAATTCACAAGGACTGAATTTAATAATTCCTAATTATTACATTTATGACTAGCAAGTATTATTATTATTAGGACGATGACGACCGGTCATTATTAGAATTTTCATTACCATCATAATCCCACCCTGCAAAAGTATCCCCCTATTATCGTATCCACACGTGCATCGGAATCTCACCCCCGACTTGGCTCTGCAAAGACCACGAAGTGCATCCGCCCACGTGGTGCGCCGGGACTTCATGTGGCGCTGATTGGCTATCTAAGTTCCATGGCATCCACGATATGGAAGCTGATTGGCCAGCAGCTCCTTTCCCCCCATTTTCCCCTGTCCCCTTTCCTTGACGCGATTGGAGGAGTAGGGAGGCCGAGTCGGCTCGTTGACGTAGCCTAGAAGAGACAAGTAAGAGGCTAGAGCGGCCGGCAATGGTTTTCGCCGACGAGGAAGCGGAAGTGAGTTGGGTCCGGAGCTGGGACATGGAGTCCGGGCAGCAGCCGGTGTGGCGCGGCCTGGGGCTGCTCGGCAGAGGCGGGGACAACCCCGGGCTGGGCCCTGGGGGCTGCGAGAGGCGGCTGCTGTGGGTCGCGTCCTTGCTGTGCGTTTTGCTGGACCTGCAGTTGCCAGGTAACCATGGTAACCGGGAGGCGAGGGGTCGTTTCCTCTTTGCCCTCAGCGACAGGGCTTCTGCTGGCCCCGCCCCCTGCGTAGGCGGTCGCCCCGCCCCTTTCTCTCTCCCCTCCCCCTGTGTTGCCGGGTCCTCCGCGTCAGGGTTCGCTCTGACGCCCCCAACCCACCTTCTAAGCCCCGCCCGCCACGGGCCCCGCCCCCTCACGTTGACGCCCCTTGTAGCCCCGCCCATATGCTTGTAGCCCCGCCCCTTTTCATTGCCACTCTCACTTAGCATGTTTCTAGTCCTTAGTGTTCTCCTCCATCTTCCACAACTCATGCCTTGCACTTCTGATCTTTTGCATCCGGTGGAAGGTTCCTGCCGGCTGCCAGTCAATATTGGTTGAGGTAGTTGCTCCCTCTGCCCTACTCCCAGTTTTCTCCACAAGGAGTACACTTATTATTTACCCAAACAGAGGCAGGGCTGTACAGGACCTGTCGGATAACCTAACTGAAGGGAACATCCCTTGATTATAAAACCATACGCATGTTTTCCTAATGTATCTTTAATATTTCTTTACATGCCATACATAAGCAACGATAGCAGCTAGTATGTTGTTTCTTGGGGAAAGGTGTAACAGTACAGTAGTTTGAAGTTGGAACTGCCACTTGGAACAAGTTTGTGATGTATATTAAAGTCTCTAGTCCAATAGATCGCTCTAGATGTTTCCATGGGTCTGGGGAGATGGTGTTGATTGATCTTTGCATCTTATATGGGACACAAAGATAAGTGACAGGAGGCAGCTGTTTTTGAACACGATGGATTTAGTTTTAAAAATGGTTTCACTGTTTGTTGAATTTATAAAAACAGCAAACCAGTTCTAGAGATACTTGCCCTTCAGGCTTACTTCAGCAGGACACACCTTCTGGGTTTGCAGAAAGCTATGCAGTGTGGAAAAAACTGCGATTGGCAGAATACCTGGTTCTGGAACCAGTAACTGACTGGAGTTTCCAGAAGTGATCTTTCACATCTCATTCTACTTGATTCTCCCCCTGGAAATGCTAAGGAGTTTTTAACAGAGTCCCTTCAATAGCAGAGAGTCCAGAGAGAAAAGAAACTAATAATGCTTTAATGTGTGACCTGAACAAAAGCAGTACATAAATATGAGGAGAAAGAAACAGGTTTTTCTGTTTCTTAATTAAGGCCTTGTTCACAGCAGGAAGATGTACAACTGCACATATAGGGGGAAACTCTCAGAACTACATAGCCAGTCAGAGCATGAGTTACCTCAGCAAGCACCATGCCCTTCTGACTGGTTGCTAGGCAACACCTCCACCATTTTCTTGGTTGGCTGGCTATCTGTAAATAGAATTAACCCTTAGGTTGCTAACTTAATTATCCCTGCTGTTGTACTTCCAAGATCATCTTATGCAGAGCAGGTGTCCTGCTATTTTGCTTGCCCCCCCCCCCAAGTAGAGGCATGCATATGTCCTCTACTCACACCTCTCTTTCTCCTGCTCTGTTACAATGGCTATTGGTCTCACAAACCATTTCATACCTTGCAGGTTTGCTGGCTGCTGGCCAAGCTGAGATAGAAAACCACCTGGAAATGGGGCGGAAGCTATTGGCCGCTGGGCAGCTGGCTGAGGCACTATCACACTACCACTCTGCAGTGGGTGAGTAATATAGCCTGTTTTGACTGTCATCCCTGAGGCATCTAACTGACAGGTGTCTTATGGGCTTATGCTGCCATCTCAGTGTCGGTGTGTCACTCGACTTCTGAGCTCTCTCAAGGTATAAGTTAGAGGGCCCTTGGAAGGTAATGGTTCCACTACCTGATCTGTTGTTTTTTGTATAATTTTAAATCATAAATATAGCTGCAGTTGGTTCAGAGAAATGCATGTGAAAGAGCTAAACCACAGCAAATCCAGCCTATCCCTATAATTATTCGTTTATGTTGCTACTCATGAGGGGGACAGGGTGCAGATGCAGATCCGTACGCATCTCACACAGTATACGTTCTGTTAAGCATACTGACATTTATTTCTGTTTGGTTTTTTTCCCCCTCGACTCTCCTAGAAAGTGATCCCAAAAACTATCTTACCTACTACAAAAGGGCAACTATCTACTTAGCCATGGGCAAGTTCAAGTCAGCGCTCCCTGACCTCTCAAAGGCTATTGAGCTCAAGCCGGATTTCATGGCTGTAAGTTGTGTGTGTGTGTGTGTGTGTGTGTGTGTGTGTGTGTTCTCCCCCTCCCCACTAAGACCTTCTTAATGGGAAAGGGTGCAGGGAGAAGGGTTTGTTTCCAGCTCAGAGAACCAGTTTGAATGATTCAAATCAGTCCCCTGCTTCCTCTTTCAGTGCCTCTTGCATGGGTGGAGAATGATTCAGAATAGCATGGGCATGCTGGCAGATGCCGTTGACACGGGTTATAGCTAATCCGCAGCCATTATTCGTTTTATTTTTAAAGATGTTCTATCCTGTCTTCTGATCAGCCGATTTCAGGGATAGCTTGCAACACATTAGATCCATATGGTTTTGTTATTTTAAATTGCCTAGCAGCCCTTGTGTGTCTTCCCCTCAATACTGCTGTCCCAAGGCAAGCGGCACAGAGCAAGTTCCCTTTTTTTTTTGGAGGTGGGGGGTAGCGAGCTGCAGGGAGATAGTAAGGTCCCTGCAGCTGCTCACCTTGCACTGATGAATGAGGCCAGGCTGGTCTTCCCTTTGCCATGGTGTCCTTCTAAGGAATCAGGATGCATGAGCAGCTTTGTGCGGTGGGTATATTTGTGAAGTTTCCCGTTTTGCTATATAATCGGGGCCCTGCATATTCTTACTCTATCCTTCCTTGCGTGTGTTTGCAAATGTGCACAAGCGCAAACGGTTTGTGCAACCCAACTGATAAGCTTCCTGTTTCCAAGCAGGAAATGATTGCTGTCACCCAAACCTACTTCCCCGTCACACTTGTCTTAAAGGATCTGGGGGGTTTTCTGTCCCACAGGCCCGATTACAGCGAGGCAACATCCTCCTGAAACAAGGCAGCACGCAGGAGGCCAAGCAGGACTTTGAAGCTGTGGTAAGCAATCTGCCCACATCCACATCACAGGTGCAGGAGCCCCATCTAGCGATGCACATTCATTTTCATGTCTGGCAATGGACCGCTGGTGAAATATATTCTCTTGCCTCCTTAGAATTCCATTTCAGGGCCATCAGAAAGGCTGTGTAGCTCAGCAGCAGTAGCCTGCAGCACCAGTCTCCGCTCAACACTGGCTGCATACACACCATCCATTAAAATCTTCCCACAAAGAACCCTGGGAATTGTAGTTTAAGAGTCTAGTTTAGTTCTGTGGGGGTAAACTACCATTCTCAGGATTCTTTGGGCTTGTACGTTCTATCCAGTTAGGAAATTGCAGCAGCACACATTGGATTCAAACCTTGCAGTTATGCAAAATATTGCTTTCACTGTGGTGTGCAAACAATACCACGTATGATTCTTTGGGGAAGCTCACTTTGTAACAAGCAGAAATGGTCCAGGAATGGTGGGATATCTGCCCAGCTGAGCACCTTGGGAAATTACCTTTCTCATAATTTCAAATCCCCAAATACATCGCAACACCATTGTTCTTTCTGTATTGGCCCCCATCTTTTCTCCCTGTTTCATCTACATGGACATTTTCGGACCTGCTCAGAGATTTGGATTGACTCCTTAAAATATTCAGTGACCTAATACATGCGTTCTGTTTTATTTTATTGAAAAAATGATCTCATCAGCTCCAAAGTAATCCGGAAAATACAGAGGCCCAAAGGCAGCTTGCCCGTGTCTCTGAGCTAGAATTTTCCATGCAAGAAGCCCGTACTGCCTTCCAGAGGAAGAACTACCTGGGAGCAATCAGTATTTTGGATCAAGCAATTGAGGTATGTTGTCTTCAACTCCTCCTAGCTTTATATTCTTATTTAAGCAGCGCCATGGGTCAGGTTAACGGGCCTCAGAAGCTTGCCATCCTGTCTTTATAATGAGGTAGTTGGTATGAGAGTGCTATGAGAGTCTTAAAAAGTCATTCAGCTGTGTTGAAGTACAATCGCACAGCAAGCACCTCTTGGGCCAACATGTGGGGGTGTTTAACTTGTCTATTGCTTGGAATGGCTGGGGAGAAGTGGTGTCTGTGTGAGCGAGAGGACGGACCCTCTTTTTAACCTGCGTTGTTAGAACATTGAGACCAGAACCTGGAAAACCAGGCTTCCAAACCCCATTCAGCTGTGAAGCTCATTGTGTGGCCTTGGGCCAGGCACTCTTTCTCACCCTCACACACCTCATAAGGTTGTTGTGAGGATGAAGTGGAGGAGGAGAAATCCTTGTACACCACCTTGGAGGAAAAATGGAAGTGGAATAAATAGCATGGTCCTTGTCGCCTTCTGCCTCTTCCAAAGGGAGGTGGTGGTGCTGTGGTCTAAACCACTGAGCCTCTTGAGCTTGCTGATCAGAAGGTCAGCGGTTTCATGGGGTGAGCTCCCGTTGCTCTGTCCCAGCTCCTGCCAACCTAGCAGTTTGAAAGCACACCAGTGCAAGTAGATAAATAGGTACCACTGCGGTGGGAAAGTAAATGGCATTTCCGTGCGCTCTGGTTTCCGTCACGGTGTTCCGTTGCACCAGAAGCAGTTTAGTCATGCTGGCCACATGGACCTGGAAAGCTGTATATGGACTTAACTGTCCAGAGGTCCTTTGCCTTTTTACCTTTTACCTCTGTCTCTTCCCTCATCTCCACCCACCCCGGTCACCTGAAGCTGGAAAAGAGCAGTGAAAATCTAATGGGCTTGGCACACTATCAAGTCCTGGGGAGGGGAATAATAAATAAATTTTATTTATACAGACACACAAAACTCTGAATAAATATAGCAGAAATGAGTTTTTGGGTTGGGAGGGCCATAGCTGAGCATTAGAGCACCTCCATGCAATGAGGCCCAGGTGCATGTTAGGATTCCTGCTCCTGACAGTGTAATCCCTGGCATTTCCAGGTAGGGTGGAGAGAGACTCCCTGGCTGAAACCCTTGAGAGCCAGGGTGGACAAGTCAGGGTGGACTATCCTGAGCTAGATGGACCAGCCACCCAACTCTGTGTAAGGCAACTTCCTCTGCTACCAACCAAGGTTCTAAAGTAAAAACAGCAGGAGGCTTTGAGGATATTAACTTCCTCTCCTCTGTGCCCCAGATCTCCCCCTGGGACCCAGAAGCAAAAGAGCTGCGTGCTGAGTGCTACCTGTACCTTGGCGACTACAACAAAGCCATCATGGACCTGAAACCCACCACCAAGCTGCGTAACGATAACAGGGCGGCCTTCCTGAAGCTCAGCAAACTCTATTACAACTTGGGGGAACACGAGGAGTCCTTAAAGTGAGTGGTGCATGCATGCATGCATATGTTGTGCGGTGTGTTACAGACACGTGCAGGGGGGCCGTTCTGTACTACTTATCCCAGGCACTGTGTCTGGATTTAATAATAAAGCAGCTGGGGAGCAGCATTGCACAGGCAGGGAGTTTCTGCACCCTCCTGGCCTTTCCACTGTCTTGGGTCCCTCCTGTTGCATCTAGACCCGGTCTCTTTTCCTCCACAGCCAAGTGCGGGAGTGCTTGAAGCTGGATCAGGACGACAAGGACTGCTTCTCCCACTACAAGCAAGTGAAGAAGCTCGCCAAGCAGCTGGAATCTGCCGAGGAGCACATCAGATCTCAGAGGTGCGCTGAGTACCTCCCTATGTCCACCCGCCTTAACCTTCCTGGGTTACTTGTTTGCATGTGTGGCTGGCTAGAAGTCGGCAGCGCACATTGAGTGGCTTCTGTGCACATCATTATGCTCTAAGCATGTGCAAAGGGTGTACAGAGGAATGCTCTGTTCTGTAGCATTTTATGAGCTTGCGGGTTGAACCAATATGCATATATTTGTTCAGTGTGTATCATCGCTTCTGTTTCTGCTGTTCACAGAGAGGGGAGGACACCTGTGCAAGACGCTGTTAAGTACATAAACAGTTTCTGAGACTTCAACAGGCGGCATATTTACAGTACATTAAGTCTAGAAAATGTAAACTGATATTCTTGAGATAAGAAAACAAGAACCAAGTTGCTGGTTCAGACCAAGGATTCATCTAGGCAGCCATCCCACACAAAACGTATTTCTGGGAAGTTCACTCCCAAACCATGGGTATCCTTCATGAATCTGTCTGCTCCCTTTTTTTTTTTTTTTTTTGAAAGTCACATGAAGCTGCCTTTTATCCTGAGTCAGACCGCTAGCCCAGAACTGGTTCTCTGAGGTCAGGTCAGAGCGTCTTTTCCCAGCTGTGAAGCCCATGGTTGTTTTAACTGGAGATAGACAGAACTGAAAATGGTGCTTTGCCTGCTGAGAACACCCGGCTCCCTAACAAGGCAGATTTGTATGACTTTAAAAGGGGAGCTATCAGACAACTTTGTGGCAAATGGGTCTTAGCAGCTACCCATGGAGCCATCTAAGTTGGTCACCATTTCTTGTAGTAGTGAGTTTTGTAAGATAATCATGTGTTGCGAAGTGCTCCTTCACCTATTGTCCATCTTGTTTGTTTCATTTCTCCAGTGCTGTGAGAAAAGAAAGCTCTCTCTTCTGTACTATTCATAATTTAATAGATGTCTATCGTGTGGTTTTGTTTGTGAAAACACAATGTTGCTGCACTCCGGGGCCCGGTAGCAATCTGCACTTGAGTAGAGTGATAGCAGAATAATCACAGCCTTTCTGTTACACAGATGGACCACGAAATCAGACAAATCACATTCAGTTCTTTGGCTGCTCGTTATCCCTTTGTCGCTGAGAGCATTGTGCAGCCTCAAGGTTTGCATGCTCCTTTCCTTTCCATATACAGTTGTCTTCTCTGTCATTTCCCGGGGACAGGTACGAAGATGCCATTGAGAAGTATAAAGCAGCCATGAAAACTGAGCCCAACGTGGAGATCTATACCAGTAAGGCAAAAGGAGGCATCTGCCACTGTTTATCCAAGGTAAGGCAGTGTGGTTCAGCCTGTCTGAGGAGATGAATAGGAAGTAAAACAAACTTGGCTTTGTTTTGTTGTTTAATTAAAGGAGTAAACAATCAAATACAACTACAAGAGTATTTGGCATAAACGAATGAAAATTCATAACACTAGTATTGCAATTTTGTCCATTTTAGAATGAACTCTGACAGCCTTAGAAGTAAGAGAGATGTCAGTTTTGAAATCTAGGGATCTGCATTTGGTTTCCTGATCTGCTGCTGGTATCCTATCTGTGCCTGGTCATGTTCTCAGCCTCTCATGCTTCTTCCTTCCTGTAGAAATGAAACTTGTTGGCCTACAATCAGAGTAGCCAACAGGGTGACCTCCAGTTGGTGTTGGACTCCCTAACAGCCATCAATTCCCCCAGCCAGCACGGCTAATGGACAGGGTTGACCAGAATCATCCATCAAGCATCTAGAGGACACCCTGTTAGCTGCAACTGGCCTGTATCTCAGGAAAGATTTGAACCACCATCTCTCTACTCTATAACAGTGATCCACTGGATCAGAATAGACAATGGGGCAGATATGGTGGAGGGACATGATTGCTGGGAAACCAGTAGCAAAAAAATTCCCTTCCCCTTTTTGTGTGCCACAGAGCAAACAGCCTCATGAAGCTATAGACATCTGCACAGAAGCCCACCAACTCGACCCCAGGAACATCTTCATCTTGCGTGACAGAGCTGAAGCCTATATCCTGAACGAGGAGTTTGAAAAAGGTAAAAGCGTTGGTGATGCAGGAGGACCATGCCAGGACCGCAGCTCAGTGGTAGAGCATCTGCTTTGCATGCAGAATCGTAGAGTTGGAAGGTACGCTGAGGATCATCTGGTTCAGGGTTTTCCCATACTTGGGTCTCCAGCTGTTTTGGGACTGCAGTTCCCATCATCCCTGACCACTGGTCCTGCCAACTAGGGATGATGGGAGCTTGTAGTCCAAAAACAGAAGGAGACCGAAGTTAAGAAGCCTTGATCTAGTCCAGCCCCCCTCTGCTCACTGGACCAAGCACACGGTCATTGCTTGAAAATTTTCCAAATTTTCCATTTTATTTTATTACAGTAATAAAGGATGTGGCTGTTTTTTTAAAGGAATATTTTATTTTCTCTGGATTTCATGCACTTTGGTCAGATTCCAGGTGCGCAGACCTGTGAGATAATGACGTTAAGAGACAAAAGTTGAAAAAAGTGGCTGCAAAAAAGTCACTTTTCCTCCTGTATTAAAGCCAACTCTTTCCTTGTAGCGGTTGAAGACTATCAAGAGGCCAAAGAGTTTGATGGTGAAAACGAGGAATTAAAAGAAGGGTTGGAGAGGGCACAGAAACTGCTGAAGCAATCGAAGAAACGGGACTATTACAAAATCCTTGGGATCCGGAGGTATGGCATGCACTTTCCGTAACTCTTTCCTGGTCCAGAATTGGACCTGGAAACAAATTGAGAGACAATACAGCTGATAGCATCGGTTTAATTGAATCAAGAAACTGGGCTCACAACCTCCTCATTTATTTTGAACCCATTGATGCTGTTGGACAGTTTTCAAGGGCAGCCCCATGTAGTATGCATAGCAGTAGTCTAATCCAAACGTGATTTCTCTCTATGTGTAACTGTGGTAAGTTCAGCCTTCACCAGAGAAGGCTGCAATTGAGACACACCAGCCCAAGCACAGCCACCACCTGTCTATTCTTGAATTCAATGGGACTTGACTTTGACTGAATCAGACCTTAAGTGATAGCTTTGCCAGAGCATAGTTTTAAACTTTTCAACTCTTGCCCTCCCCACCCAGCCACCCGGCGCTCACAAAAGGATATAAATATTGGAACAACTTCAATAGTTTTAAAGACAAAGTCAGCCTGGCCAGGTTTCGGGTAAATATTTGATGCGGCAAAGTAGATGTACTGGTTGGTTGGCAGAGTGTTTTTATGAGGTGGCAATGGGGAAAAACAACTCTCTTGCGGCTCTAATTAGGTTGCTGCAGGAATATGCAAGCCTTTGGGTTTGCGCAGGAGTCTCTGGTAGACATGAAAGATTTCTGTATATCTCCAGAGCTTGCATACACTGAATGCTGAGCTCAGTTGGCCAAACATAGCAACGTCTTTTTACTTACCTACTTTGCTTCTCCTATTCTTCTGAAACCCATGGCACTGGAACCCATGTCCGAGCTGTACAGTCTGTGGAAACTTTCATGCTTAAATTTGTTATCATTCACATCACTGAAGAAAATGAAGGAAAAAACTTAGTTTCTGTTTCCCCCCTGTCCCCCACTCTAGGAATGCAAATAAGCAGGAAATCATCAAAGCCTACCGGAAGCTAGCTCAGCAATGGCACCCTGACAATTTCCAGTCTGAAGATGAGAAAAAAGAGGCTGAGAAGAAATTCATTGACATTGCAGCTGCTAAAGAGGTCCTGACAGATCCAGGTAAGGCCTGCCTGATTAAATTCAGGTTTGCGTGTGCTTCACTGTAGGCGATAAATTGGTTGTTTTGCACAACGAGTGCAAGAATACATATTTGGCATGTGTTCTTCTTTGCTAAGATAGCCTGCCCCTTAACCACTAGAGTTTTGGGAGTATGCAATGGGTTACAACTGTACCAGTAGAATGGTGATTGCATCTAATTTCCCTGTACTTGCTAGCATTTAAACTCCAAATTTCCTCCAAGGAGCTCAGGATACTGTGCATGGTACTTCTTCCCCTTTAACCTTGCAACAGTCCTGTGTGGGCAGATCAAGCTGTGAGTTGGTGATAGTCCCATCATCACCCTTATAACCTTGGTGAATGGGTGCGATTTGAATCCTAGTCTCTCCTAGTCTAACCTCTGCATCTCACTGATTCACGCAGACAGAGACCACGTAGGGTGTGTGTGTGTGTGTGTGTGTGTGTGTACACCATCTAGCACACAATAAGTATTTAAATGGGTCTAGAAACATCCACGTATGGAGGGGATGAGATCTTTCAGATTTGAAGATAACAAGGAGCGCTTGAGAGATACGAAGACCAGAGCTGGCTCTCTCCTTTTCTCCCACCCACATGTGTCCACCCAGATATGCCTTGCACCTCTTTTGACCCAGTCTCTTCAACCTCTTTCCCACCCTACGTTTTTGTTCTCTGTTTTCTTCCCCCTTCCAGAAATGCGGCAGAAGTTTGACTCCGGCGAGGACCCCCTGGACCCAGAGAACCAGCAGGGAGGGGCAGGACACCAGCACCAGTGGCCCTTCGAATTCAACCCTTTTGGTTCTGGGAACTTCCACTTCAAATTCCACTTCAATTAACTTGGGACCGAGCCTTGGAACAAAAGGCAAAAAAAAAGAAAAAAAAGAAAAAGACCCTGTGGCTAGCAAGCAGGTGCCTGGACTTCTGGGCTGTGCATTGTCCATGCAGACACTGCAAAAGTTACCAGCCCCCATCAGAAAACAACCGCTATACAATGGGGGTGGGTGGAGGTGGCCTCCCCGCTGCATCCAGACATCCCCGGCCCAGATGTCCGGATGCTTTTTCCAACTAGAGCTGAGGCTTGAAGAAAGATGGTGTCGTCTTGCCTCTGGTTGGGGTTCCAAACAATGTGGGGCTGCAAGGTGAGATGTAACCATGCATGCAGGGCCTTGCATACCTTTCTGAAAATCCTGCTTTTCATGGGAGTCCTTGCAACTCTGGATTTATGTATGCAGCTCGACTTAGTTGGCCGATGGGCTGTACCTCTCGTGTCTGCTGAGATTCATTTTTTTTAAGCTGGTGGTAAGGAAACTGATTCCTCATTCCCTGCCCCGACTCCCATCTATCCTTAAAAAAATCCTTCACTGCCATATAACTACAAACCCTTTTAAATTGTAAAAAGAAAAGAAAAGTGGGCAGGAGAGTATACCGTCCTGTTCACCTGTTGGCATGCATTTGAGTTTGCCTACCTGAGAAAATATTTGCGTAATGTGAAGTGTGGGGTGATCTCTGCTGATGGCAGAAAGCACCGCTGAGTCCTGCAACGGCCTTCCTCCGTTGCAACACCCGTAATTTCGTTGATGCAGCTATTCATCTTGAAAAGGCAGTGAGAAGCGCCTCTTTATCAACACCCACCAGGTTTTGCGGTGGTTTGGGCCACCCTATGAAGTGGCAAAATTCATCTCTTCTTTTGATGGGGTGGATTCCGGTATTGCACATTTGACTTCTCCCTTCCCCCAAATACAAAGGGAATAATGGTCAAGAACCCAGTCTGGATTTTGGGGGAGAGGAGCTTAGGTCATACACCTTGCCCTAAAGTTAATCCCTGTGAAATCCCCTCCTTCCTTGCCACCGTTTGACTGTTACAGTGTGTGAATTGCGAGTCTGCTATTCTACCATCCAAATGAGGGATTCTTGCCTCCCTCAATTTACTCCAGTTAGGCAAATTTTTAACTTTTCTTCCTCCTGCTCCAGGGCAAAAGGGGGAGGCACTGCTGTCCCCTTACCCCCCCCACCCACCCCAAGACAGCACAGTACTTCTATAAAGCCTGAACCTGCTCTAGCCGTTGCCCAGGGGCCGAGGGAAGGAACGTTAAGGAGGGGGTGTTAAACCACCACCTATTACCAAAAGTGTCAAGATTAAACGTTTGTATTGCAAAGCTCTCGCTTGTCTTTCTGTCTTGCTGCTTCAAGAAACGAGGATTGGCCACGTCTGGAGGATCTGTCTCATCACAGCCCCACAAATTCTCTTGTACTTGGAAGCAAAAAAAGGCACAAAAAGAGCCCTGGTTTGTCAGATCAAAGACCCATCTAATCCCATCGTCCTCTTTTCACTGTGGCCAATCAGCTGCCTGTAGGAAGCTTGCAAGCATGACTTCATTCTTCCCTAAATGTCTCATCTTTTGAAGCCATTCCCCCTTTGCTGGGAGAGACATTTTAAGTCCTACAAAAGCAAGGCTTTCTGCAACAAAGACCTTTATCTGGCATTATCGAGCTGACCCAGCCTATTAAGGGAGGAATCCTTTGTGACATCCACACTCCCCTCCCGAAAACGATTTACTAATGCCTTCTGCACAGGTTTGCAAGGAGAGAGGTGAGTTGCAGGTACAAGCCTATACGGTTCCCTAGAACTTGGTGGGGCATGCATGGCAGGATGCGGACCTGTGGCCCTCTAGGTGTCAGTTTCATCCAGCATCACCCATGGTGAGGGATGATGGGATTTGTAGTCCAACTTATGGACACCCACAGGTTCTTCACCTTTGCCTTCAGTGTGTTCCATGTTAGGGAGGGCAAGGTAGTTCAACCATGCCTTTCTCTGGTCTCTTGTGTATCAACAAACCCAGAACAACTTGCAAGGCTTTGCCAAATCCAGTATGTTATGCCTTGGGAGCAAACATAAGTGGATTCGGTACACCACGCTGCTGAAAGGACTTCTTTCCGGAGCCCCCAGGCACTATCGGGACTGGGGCACAGGAGTCTTTTGCAAGAGGATAAATAGAGGTTTTTTCAGCCCTCCTGTAATTAGGGATGAGGAGATGAATGATAGGACCTCGCAAGGTTGTCATGACTATGGAGCTCCCTGTACCATTGTCCTTAAATGCTAAGGGCCTTTTTTGGTTAGTGTGTGTGTGTGTGTGTGTGTGTGTGTGTGTGTGTCAGTGTGTTAAGAGTTGGGGTTGTGATGAACAGCTCCTGAATGAAAAGATTGGAGCATGGAGCATTGCCAGTGAAGTTTGGTCCGAAGTCATTTCAGAGCACTTGGTTGTAGGACGTTGCCATCAGTCCTGGCTGGGTTGCCCTACTTTAGTTCTGATTAAGAATCCTGCTTTTATTTTAGTTGGGTTCCTGCAGCTGGTTGTAAACAGCAGACACCAGTCAATTGTCATTGAAAACAATGTTCATTTTATATATATAATATATAAATCTGAAATGTACAAGGTAGTGCTTCTAGCGCACAGGTCATGTGCTCCCAGAGTTGTTTTTCTCAGCATTGAGTGAGCAAAGACTTGGTTCAAAGTCAAAGCAAAATTCCCGTTTTCTTATCTATAGGAGTCCAGTTGCTCCTCTTCTCAGATGGAGGGAGGCCAAGTTACCCCAGGCTGCCGTGTCTCCACAAGAGTATCTTTGAGTAATACTTATCACAAAGAGGAGCTGTTGAACGTTCTGTACAGGTCCAGAGTCCAGGTGCTATTATTAACCTCCTTATGTGTAATTGTCAGAAGTAGAGATCCCTTTCAACCAGAGCTTTTGGAGAGCTTTCAAGTCACCAGCTTGGTGTGTCATATCCTGAAATGCAAAACTTTTCAATATGCACCTCCAGCTGCATTTGAACTTCCTGCCCGCCGGGAGGAAGGCTGACACGGCCCTTTCAGCAGAAATATCCAAACCAGCAACACTGCATGAAAGGGTGACCTCAATTTTCTTACACACCCTGTTTCAGGAGCCAAGCCAGGAGGTGTTATTGCAGAACAAAGGCTTATGCTTGGTTGCCAACTTTTCAACCAGCCCATGTTGCTGTGCCTTTCACAGGGCGATTTGTGGCTCTGCAGAGATGATAACATTGATCCCTGCGGTGGAGCCACTTTCCCTAACCTGATGCCCTTCAAATGACGCTGGACTCTCATCTCTAGTCAGCTCCGGCCACCATGGCCAGCGGTCAGGGAAGATGGGAGTTGTAGTTCAACCACATCTGGAGAGCACCAGAGTGGGAGAGGCTGCTGTGGAATAAACCAGGGCATAGCAGCTGGCGCTGATCTGAAAGGTGGCAGAGGTGTGCTCTAAGCAGTAGTTAATGATTGGGGGGGGGGGGGAGAGACAGAGAGACTCCTAGCGGAACCAGAAAGTACCCCAAACTATTTTCAGCTGTGAATTGCTGGAGCTAATATATACACCCAATGCCATGCTTGATGAATGATGACAAAGCACCAGGTCTTTTGATCTACCAGATCCCCATCTTCAAATACAAAAGGGCAATCAAAAAACCCTAAGGCTAGTAAGAGAGGGATGAGATACAGAAGCAATGCTAGTTGGTTTTACAACAAAAGACCTGATAGTTATTGTAAAAGCTAAAATTTCTACAGGATTTCTAGGCTTTTTGACATTTTGAAGCCACTTTGCTACTTCAGGGAGTGGGAATCAGAGGTTTTCTGTCTATGGTTGGACTTCCTATTACCCCAGACCAAGCTGACTGGGGCTGATAGGAGTGGAAGTCCAATGGGGAGGGCACCTTTAAAAAGCCACATCTTAAAAGTTTGTCTTACGAATCCCCGAAGCAATCCTATTCTGTATCAGCAAGCCTTATTCAGTACTGTCATCCTGATTCAGTATCATTTCTCTCCCCCGCCCCCCATCCAGAAAACTCAATCATTGTGGGTGTTGTCGGGGTGTGCAGAGATAAGAGGTACAAAACCTACAGAAAATACTATTTTGTTGCTATTTACAAGTGAATTTGAATTCAGACTACTTCTTTCCCCATAGAGACCAATCCAAGTATTTGGCGCTTCGGGCTGTAGGAAGTAAGGATAAAAACCAGTTCTTCTGAGCACGTTCAAAATCTTTTTTGGCCTCTCTCCCGATCACCAAGCGCATATGACCTGTGCAAGTGTCTGGAACAGACGAGAAGTTATTTCTCCCAAGAGGAATGGTGTGATTTCATCCCCTGCCTCTGTCGTTTTAAGAAGCCATCTGCTCCCAACGACATGCTAGCCAAAACCTAGCAAGCCAGGGTTAACTGACCAACAGGGAACCGTCTCCATTCAGAGGAGAAGGAAGGCAAAATCATTATATGTAGACAGCTCTCCTCCGCATTGAAGAACTGAACACCGTGCAGCATTTTCCAGGGTCGTTGTGGATTCACTGTCTTTGTCCAGTTCCTATTACCATCATCATCATCACCAGAAATGTCCAAAGGAATTGGAGCAGAGAGTGGGATATGAGAGAGAGAAAGAGAGGCCTTCCTACCATGGCTTGCGAGCTCCGTAAAAAAAGCCTTTGGGTTCCTGTGCAACCAGGAAAGCATCTGAAAACGTCTCTTTTGGAAAAATGCAAACGGAAAGGGGTGGTCACCCCACTGCAAAGGCTTAGACGTAAGCGTTCTTCCCATACTTTCCGTTGCTGCTGGCGTTAGACTCCCTGCGGGGGCGAGGGGCTGTGTTGGTGGGGGCTGACAGGGCACTCTTGGGGGCCTTGTATGGATAAGTGTAGCTGTGAAGACACAAAAACAGATGTTGGGGGGTTACGATTCGATAAATTTTGACGTGGCTTCGGCCTTGTTGCTTCCTCTCAGAATTGCCCCCACCCCTTTTCTTGCTGCTTTCATAACCATCCCACTTTATAAGGGAACCTGTGGCCTTCCATAGATTTGTGAGACTACAACTGCCATCGTCCCTGACCATTCGTCATGCTGGCTGGAGCTGATGGGAGTTGGAGTCCAGCAACTTCTGGAGGTACCCAGTCTCCCTGTCCCTGGAAAAGACAATTCTAAGCTAGATGGACAAATAGCCAAAAGGCAGGAAGTCATAACAACCTCTCATTGCCTTCCCTTTTCTTTCTGGGTAATAATAATAATAATTTATTACTTATACCCCATCCATCTGGCCAGGCCTCCGCAGCCACTCTGCGTGGCTCCCAACAGGATATTAAAAACACAATAAAACATCAAACATTAAAAGCTTCCCTAAACAGGGCTGCCTTCAGATGTCTTCTAAAAATCAGGTAGTTGTTTATTTCTTTGGCATCTGATGGGCGGGCGCCACCACCGAGAAGGCCCTCTGCCGGGTTCCCTGTAACCTCACTTCTCGCAGTGAGGCAACCGCCAGAAGGCCCTCTGAGCTGGATCTCAGTGTCTGGGCAAAACAATGGGGGTGGAGACGCTCCTTCAGGTATACCGGGCCAAGGCCGTTTAGGGCTTTAAAGGTCAGCACCAACACTGAATTGTGCTCGGAAACGTACTGGGAGCCAATGTAGGTCTTTAAGGACCAGTGTTATATGGTCTCGGCGGCCACTCCCAGTCACCAGTCTAGCTGCCGCATTCTGGATTAGTTGCAGTTTCCGGGTCACCTTCAAAAGTAGCCCCACGTAGAGCGCATTGCAGTAGTCCAAGTGGGAGATAACTAGAGCATGCACCACTCTGGCAAGACAGTTTGCGGGCAGGTTGGGTCTCAGCCTGCGTACCAGATGGAGCTGGTAGACAGCTGCCCTGAACACAGAATTGACCTGCACCTCCATGGACAGCTGTGAGTCCAAAATGACTCCCAGGCTGCACACCTGGTCCTTCAGCTAGGACCCAGAGGGGGAAAGGGAGGAAGGCACAAGTCCCTCTACCCACCCCACGAAAAGTTTGGAGCCAGCATTGTTCTCACCTCTTGTCCTGGGACAAATGGGTCTTACACGAACTGAACAGGCATCCTCCTCCAATTATCACAAGCAGTGAGGCGCTCCAGCCGAGGTAGAGGGCAGGTCCAATTTCATACCTGCACGTTGGAAACCATCCCAAAGGAATCTTGGTTAAAATCCTTTCGTCACATTTTGTCATCCAAAAGGAATTCAGTTTGCAAAAGCAAACATGGGGGGGGGGGGGGATGTTTGCAAAAAACATGGCATGCCAGTGATGATGCGGTTGGATTCCCGATCCCATCAGCCCCTGCAGCCAGCAAGCCCAAGGGTCAGGGATGTTGGGAGTTGTAGTCCAACACCATCTGCAGGGCAACAGGCACCCTGTGCTGAGGTCAACTAAACTACATGGATAATAAAACTCTTTACCCTCAACTCTTATGATATGCAAAAGCAGTCAAGGGCATGTCCTGTAAAACAGGGGTCAGGAACTGCAGGCCCAGGGGCCAAATGCAGCCCACCCAGTCCTCTCTAATTGGCCCATGAGACTCTCCCCAGGCCACTCCCCCTCTCCCCAGGCAACACCTCCTCTCTTCAGGCCACACCCCCTCCCTGGTCCCGCAAGGCACCCTAAATGCTTTTGCCTGGGTCCTTGAAGTCTGCTAATGCTAATTTATTTAAGTATTTTATATATGACAGTAAAGTCATTGTAAAGAAAGACCCAGTCATTAAGACAGTCTAGAAGGAAGCACTGCCTCTCTTCCCCTATTTCATTGTTGTTCAGGGTCCTTTGATCTGACACCCCATCCCCACCCCTCCTGCCACTTGGCAGACTTACTTTGTGCCGACGAAGAGGGGGTTAAAGAAATCCCGGGTAATATTGAAGGCATACCAGGAGATGGTCACCATCCCGCAGATACCTGAACAAGGAGAAAAAGAAAGGTTGTTTAGGACAGGACGAAGCCCTGGCACATCTCTGCGTACTAAAGAGGGATGCTTTTGGTAGCTCAAGCAGACTGTCAACAATCGCCAGCAGAGGAGGACAAGACTTACTTGGGAAAGAACCAGGGGTCAAATGCGGCCCTTAAGTTTCTTCAGTCTGGCCCTTGAGATCCTCCACAAGTCACAGCCTTGCTCTGCACCCTCCTTGAATGTTTTTGCAATGCTGGATTGTGTCCCTGAACTGTGATGATGCCCAGATGGAGAGGTGTGTGTGTGTGTGTGTGTGTGTGTGTGTGTAAGCACGTCCATGTATGCAGAAACTTCTACTGGGCATATGGTCCCAACAACATTGTTTATTAAGGAGATGAGACCCTCAGGCTGAGAAAGGTTCCTCCTCCAGTTTTATTAAATCTCCCGATGTGGCAGGAGATAAAATAATGACAACCTTCCCTGCTTGCTCTGTGTCTCCTGCGCCGCAGGGAGACCCCAAGCAATGGTGGGGAACCACTTTCAGACGGAGGGTCAGGTTCCCATCTGTCGGACCTTCCAAGAGACACATGGCAATGTTGGGTGGAGCCAGAGGAAAAAATGGGCATGAGCAGCTGGTGTCCATTTTGCATCTAGCTTTCTACAGTTGGCTAGTTCCACCACACACCCCTCTGTGAACACAGCACTTCTTTTGCCTTTAGAGCAGCAATTTTAGGGAGAAAAGTTTGTAGGGTTGATAGTTAAAATGCTTCCGAGCAGCACTCTTATGACAGAATGCCTGGTTTTAAGAAATAGTTTGGCTGTGCAATGCATTTAATTCTGTTTTATGTATTTTGTTTTTGCACTGGCTTCAGCTACACAAATAAATAATATCTGTACATAATGTTCATACCCTCCCCTTTCTTATTCTCCATCCAAGCAAGCAAGAGGCCTTGTCAGAATTCAAGGACCCATTGCAGCCAAGCAAAAACACTCTGGGAAGGATAGGTAAGCGTCAGGGACTGGGCAGAGGAGGAATTGTGGATACTGCCTCCCCATCCTGACCCTTCCAGGGAGGAGGAAGAGGAAGACAGTATAGATTTACAACAGGGGTTTGAGGGAGGTCACAGCTCAGAGGCAGATGAGAGGAAAAGCTGGGAAATCACGGGAGAGCCAGAACAACACCCGGCTGACACATTGTTATTAGAAAGCATTGCAGACCCTCCATCTCCCAGAACCCGGCGAGCCTTAAAAGTAGGAGAGCAAAGAGCTCAAAGACAGAGGCACCCATAGAGAAGACAATGAGAATGACGAACAAGGAAGTGGGAGACATTCATTCAGGACAGTGCTATTATCCAAGAGACTGGGTTCTATAGCCTCTCTCTATGAAGACTGAAATAAAAAAGGGTGGTAAAAAACTATTCCTTGTCTTTATACTTTCCTGGGCAACCAGCTAGGAGCCGCTGATAGCATCCTGACAGTAAGTAGGACTGCTAAGTGGGTGGGGCTTGAGGAGAGGGGTGTGTCCAGGGGGCAGAATCCCCAGTGCCAGATAAGAGAGGTTCCCCACTCCAACCAAAAGGCTTATGAACAATCTCCAGCTTTGAATCCAGGAAAATTGCTCAGCAAGTAATTTCCATCTTGGTCAACAGTCGTAAGGCTTCCTCTTTTCGCTCCACTTACCAGCCAAGATGAACATGCAGCCCGCGAGAGCCGCCATCTTTGCCTTGACGTTGGGGTTCCCCTCTGCCACCTTGGTGCACTGCAGACCCAACATGCCGCACAGGATCCCCAAGAAGCCCAGCACCAACGCACTGATCATGAGAGCTCGGGATGCCTGCAGGTAAGCTGGAGAGGAATAGCGAAAAAGCTGATCAGTGTTGACCCAGGCAGAACTTTCCAACACAACCCTGAAATTTGGGTTCGAGTTTCCCAACTCAGGAGCTGCCACAGAGAACGCACACTCCAGGGCCACAGCCACCATCCGAACTTCTGAGGGTGGTGGAACAAATGAGAGGGTCACAGAATCATAGAGTTGGAAGGGACAGCAGGGTCATCAAGTCCAACCCCCTGCAATGCAGGAATCTTTTGCCCAACATGGGGCTGGAACCCACAACCCTGAGATTGAGAGCCTCATGCTCCTCCGATCTTAGGGTCTGTAGGGAAGGAGGTAGTCTCTCAGGTTATTGGGGGCCTGAGTCATTTAGGGCTTTAAACACTAACGTGAGCACCTTGAATTGGGCCTCACAATTGCTCAAAGTGCAGCTGTTTTAAAACAGGAATGAGTTCTAAACATGCAAGCCCTAAACACAGTAATCTGGCTGCTGCACTTTGGAGCAATTGAAGAGCTCTTCAAAGGCAGACCCACGCAGAGCGCATTGCAATAATCCGATCTGGAAGTTACCGGAGCGTGGAGTTCAGTGGCCAAGTCATCTCAGTCCAAAAAGGGCCATCTCCCTACCTCCTGGATGTGAGAATTCGGGTCGCCTCACACCTCTGTCTATTTGGGATTCAGCGTCAGTTTACTGACCCACATCATCACCGCCTCCAAGTATTAGTCTAGCAGTTTACAAGTATAAAATCAATTATAAAAACCCATAGGTAACTAAAATACGCAATAAAGCAATTCCTTTGGAACACAGGAAAACATCGGTAATTGAGATTTGTAACACAAAAACATGGCAAAACAATCCCGTTATACAGTGGTACCTCAGGTTAAATACACTTCAGGTTACATACGCTTCAGGTTACAGACTCCACTAACCCAGAAATATTACCTCAGGTTAAGAACTTTGCTTCAGGATGAGAACAGAAATCGTGCTCCGGCAGCGCGGCGGCAGGAGGCCCCATTAACTAAAGTGGTGCTTCAGGTTAAGAACAGTTTCAGGCTAAGTACGGACCTCCGGAATGAATTAAGTACTTAACCCGAGGTACCTCTGCATTTTTTTCTGCCTCCCCCCACCCCCTGGACATGGTATTAGCCTCGAGTTCCAGAAAGGTAGCTTTTGGAGTAAAGCAAAGGTGTCATTTGAGGAGTTTTTCACACCTGTGGTTCTGCCCAGTAGTATAGCTCTCTCTCTCACACAGACACACTATACACACACTGAGGGCTATTGTCATATAAACAATGAAACCGAACTGTGCATGCCAAAACCACAAATCCCTTTACCTTTTCTTTGGGGGGGTGTGACTGTTTGAACTCTGTTGATAATGCTTCCCACAAGCAAATAAGCCAAATCAATGGCTCTTTAAAATGCCATTTTTAACCATTTGACCTTCCGCATATCACTTTTTTGTGTGTTTTTTTAAAGGTACACAGAGATAGAGGCCGGGTGCATGAAGTTGTCGCCCTGCGCTACTGCTTCGTTTTGCTCCATGGTAAAGCCAGCCTTGGTTTAATTATCCATTGATCTTCTTGCTTTTTGATCCTGCCTTTCTTCCATCAGGGAAACCAAGGTGATACATTGTGCAGTTCCCTGGGCACAGACCAGACCCAGAGTTGCTTTACAGCAATACGCTTCAGGTTACATACGCTTCAGGTTACAGACTCCGCTAACCCAGAATAGTGCTTCAGGTTAAGAACTTTGCTTCAGGATGAGAACAGAAATCGTGCTCCAGCGGCGCGGTGGGAGCAGGAGGCCCTATTAGCTAAAGTGGTGCTTCAGGTTAAGAACAGTTTCAGGTTAAGAACAGACCTCCGGAACGAATTAAGTACTTAACACGAGGTACCACTGTAGTTCCAAACAAGGTGGTCGCCTTATGTCCTCTCAAACCACCCCCTAGAGCAGAACTTGGAAAGTTCCTTTTTAAAAAGAACAAACTCGGGTTTATCCAAAAGGAACTAACGTTCACATTTTAAGAAGGCAAACATGGATGTAGCCGGGGTGGGGTGGGGGGTGAGGCAGCTGCCCCCCCACCAAATCAAGAAAATAAATTAAAATACTTAACTAAAATTAGAAATTGAGGAAGAAACATCATGGACAGAATAATTGCCACACACAAGAAGAACAAAGAGAGAGTTTGAATGCTTCACCTGTGGGACTATAAATCAATGTGTTAATGCAGATGGAAGTCATTAAAACTGCAGTTGCGGTATAAGGGTTTGTTATTCCGACTGGAGTATAATGGAAGTTTATAAGATTTTGGAATGCAAAAATATAGTAAATCATCAAATCATCAACTCTGGCATTGTATAATTTGGCTTTTGAATGATTGGCATTATTAATGGTATTATAATTTGGCAATGTTAAAATGATCCTTTTATTGGATTATTGTAATTGAAAATTAATTTTAAAAAAATTCAAGAAAAAACAAAAACTAAAAGTAGAAATGGTACAAAGATTTTGACAGCTTTTCTGAGCCCTTGGGTTCAAAAGAAAGTAATTGGTAACAACTGCTGCTGAGACATTTCATTCTGAATCTGGTAGACAGAACCAGACAGAGGATGGCGACAGGAGGGTGTCCCGCCCCCCACCCCGCACAACATAAATCCTGGCTACTACGCCCATGAAGGCAATGGCTTTTAAAAATGTGGGCAATAATTTGCAGCAGACAAGTTCCCTGCTGAAAAGCCCCCCGGGAACAACACAGACTCTCCCTGGTAAGATAGGAACAGCTGGAGCATGTGGATTACACTACCCAAACGGCCTCGGTCCAGTATACCTGAAGGAGCGTCTCCACCCCCATCGCTCTGAGGTCCAGCGCTGAGGGCCTTCTGGCAGTTTCCTTGCTGCAAGAAGCCAAGTTACAGGGAACCAGGCAGAGGGCCTTCTCGGTAGTGGCACCCGCCCTGTGGAACACCCTCCCACCAGATGTTAAAGAGAAAAAAAACTACCAGACTTTTAGAAGACATCTGAAGACAGCCCTGTTTAGGGAAGCTTTTAATGTTTAACAGACTATTGTATTTTAATATTTTGTTGGATGCCGCCCAGAGTGGCTGGAGAAACCCAGCCAGATGGGTGGGGTATAAATAATAAATTTTTATTATATTATTATTTGACTCTGAATCCTTGTCCAGCATTGTCACACATCTCACTCTGTCGCTATAGGAGATCTGCACTCCTCTTCTTCCATCACACTTTCTGCTTCAATTCCAGATCTTTGCTGAAGGGTGGTAGGGGAGACCGATTGTGCCACAGGAGGTGTGTCTCAGAGAATAAACAGGGAAGTAAAAAACAGGTTCTGCCATTCCCCGCTCACATCCTTTTTTGGCCCAGACTCTCCTATCTGCCAGTCTGAGGACAGCTCTGTGGTCATCAGTCCTGCCTCAGTTCATTGTCCAGGTGTTGAAATCTCTTTCTTCCCACCTCCACCCACCCTTCTTTCCTGTGGCAAACACGCTGACTCACACATAGGCCAACTACCAATGGCTCCCACAGCTCAATAAACTCCAGCTGAGCTGAAGAGGGAAGCCAAACTCTCCATTTGCACCTCTCTGAATTTTGCAGTGCCGTTCTCCATCCCACTAAGGTGTACAAAATGCACCAGGGTGATGTGTGCATGAAAAAAGGCATGTTGTATTTGTGAAAATAGCATGCAAAAAAAAAAAGTTTATTATTAGTGGAAAGTGCTGGCAAAAATGTATATACAGTGGTACCTTGGTTCTCAAACGTCTTGGTTCTCAGACGCAGAAAACCTGGAAGTAAGTGTTTCAAATGTTTTTCGGAAGCTGAACATCCGATGCAGCTGTCGGCTATTGTTTCCAGGGCACCTGCACCAATCAGGAGCTGCTCCTTGGGTTTCAAACATTTCGGAAGTCAAATGCACTTCCAGAACAGATTAAGCTTGGTGCTTTTGTTTTTACTATTTATTTTGAATTTTTGTTTCTAAGGCTTTTTCGGTTAATTTGTTTTTGTGACTGTGTGGAACCCAGTTCAGCTACTGATTGATTGATTGTGTGACTGTGGAAATGGATAAAAGCCCCCCCATCCAAACAATGACTATCATCAGTGCAGGTAAGAATTATTATTTTTTAATTTTTATCATCTATAATACTGCCTTATTTATTTTATAGTACAGTGCATTGATTATTGCTTTCATTTTAATGATCAATAGTCTTGTTAGATAGCACAATTCATGTTAAATTGCAGTTTTAGGGGTTGTTTTTAAAAGTCTGGAATGGATTAATCTGTTTTGCTTTACTTTCTGTGGGAAAGCACGCCTTGGTTTTGGAATGCTTTGGTTTTGGAACGGACTTCTGGAACGGATTAAGTTTGAGAACTAAGGTACCACTGTAGTAGGCAAAACCACATACAAAAATGTGTATATTGGGTGGGTGGGTGGGAATCACTGGTGATTTTTTTCATGAGACCTTTTTTTAAAAAAGTTGGATTGAATTTAAGTTTACTTATTTATTCGCAGAGTTAAAAATTGGTAACTGATGTCAAAATGTAGAGAGCTGAACTTGAAGACTGGAAAAATGAAACATTGGGAGAGAACAAAATTGACAGATTAGCTGTTCCCTAGCAAGGAGGATGAGAGATAAGTGTGCCTCACAGCCTGTCCTGCACTCCCTAAAAACTGTCCTGCTGTCCTCAGGTGCCCTGAAGGATGCTGTCCTCTTGCCAGTGATGAACCAATATTCAGGTACCAGGCTACTCGTCATCTTTATGTGACATGGAGGATGTTGGAGGCACTAGGAGGTCCAGCTTGTCCTTTGCCCAAGGCAGCAAAATGTCTTCCGGCTGAGCCTGTTCCTGCTCATGATGGGGTGATTGATGACCCAGCGGGAACAGATCCCAGGAGAAGGAGGGATTCTGGCGAAGAAGACCTCAAAGCCTCCTCCAATTGATTGTCCCCCTCCCACTGACCTGCACCTAAAGATGGGAAGGGATCCCATTGGCATTTAAAGGTAAACCTACCTAATGCACACTTTCAAAGAGAAAAAGCGAACCAAAACACAGCCGTGAGCCATCCTTCAATATTCACACTTCTGTGAGTTTGGCATTGCTGTTCTTCAGCTTGGCAATGTGTACAAAAATGCAAACACCAGAGTGAAGTGTGCACGAGAATTCATTTATAAGTGAAAACAACCTATTCAAATGTATTTGTGAGTCTAACATATACAAATGCAATTTGCTGGGGAGAATTGCTTTGCAAAAATGACAGATTTTCTCTTTTCTTTGGTATGTTAAGCAAAATTGCATGCAAAAAAAGTGCTAGGATAAATTCACACTAAGAATGCTAGTGAATTTTCATGAGTTCTTTAAAAAACCAACTGGTTTTTTATTATTATTATTATTATTATTATTATTATTATTATTATTACATTTAGATCCTGTCTTTTCTCAAGGAGCTCAGGGTGGTGTAACAGGTCCTCTCCACTCTATCATTTACAACAACCCTGTAAGGTAGGTTGAGAGTGAGTGACTGACTTAAGGTTGCCCAGCCACTACACCACTCTGTATCTCAGTGCAAAGTTTAGGGAAAAAAACCTGAGATGCTGCGAGAAAGCAACGTGGCCAGATTATTCCATCCCTGCCCTCACAAGATTTTCTACTACCAATTGCCTCCTCTCAAAGTTGCTTTTATATTAGTAAAGCACAACAAAGGGGTGCCTGTTGAAACGCTCCTGTTCATGATGCAAGCCAGCCAGCCATGCCCTTTCCCAAGTTACTCCATTCCATTCTTCTCTCCTTACTGTCGGTCAGCATTCTGCGGCCACCAGGTTTGCTCGGTTCTTATTGGGCAGAAGCTCTTTTGGGGGGCGGGGAGTTCTCTCCCTTAGTCCCGCCCCCTCCTAAAGCGTTCTACATATCTGCAGACTTTAGGGTTCTTCTAAGGCTGCCTGTGATGGATCCCCCTTGCGCAGGGAAGTTCCATTTCGGCTACATAACCGACGCATTCAAAGCCTGGACATCGGAAACAGAGGGAATGGTCATAGGCAGAGCAACTGAATACTGTACACTTAGCAGACAGCAGCCTGCAGCGGTTTGGAAGAGGAGAGATCACAAGCATCGGTGGCAATTCGCGAACAATACGCGCCACGCCTTGCATCGAGCTGCGGTTAAAAGCACAGCCGCGCGAGCAGTTGGCAACCTCGGTTTGCACACAGTCGCCAGCCCCCTTCAGCCCCCCGGAAAGGACGGCTTTTGTTTTGGGTTTTTTCCATGATGTTACCTTCCCCCACGTGCCAGCAGATACACAGCTGTTCTGAACGTTTGCAGCTAGCAGAACCATTCTGCAAACAACCTTCCAGGATGCAGACTAACACAACAACCCCGTTTGGCGCATGAGGTGACAGTTGCAGCCAAAAGGCAGTTTACTCTCTTGTAACCTATTTTCCTGTCGGAGATCATTTCATTGCTCATCGCTGTCCCCTGCAGGGCCTTAGGAGAAACGCTCACAATCGGCATTCCCCCCCCCACTCCCTCTAAGACGGAAGCGCTTCCCCAAACCCCAGATGTGTAGGGGTGCGGAGAGAGAAAAGCACTCTGCACATGCCCCAGAACACTGCATCAAAATGGTTCAGGACTGTGTGGGGTTTTTTGACACAGAAGTCTAATTCCATCATGGTCAATCGAACAGGTACTGTACCCATATCGCACGCCCCCCCCCCCACCGCCCAACAGTGCTTAGCTGGGAAAGGGAAAGGAGATTGCTTTCCCAGATTGTCTCTTCCGCAGAAATTCCACGGAAGAAACTCTTTGTAGCGCTACTTTAGCTCGATGCTGATGGAAGCTACATCTGTTGGATTTCTGCCTGTCGTGCAACTATTCAAGATCCGGGAGAATCTTGGCAGAAAGATGTAACAGAAGGTTTCTAGCCTACATCGAAGCCAGATCTAATGGGAAAAAGAGATTGCTCTGCACATGCTCAGAGGAACTTCTGTCATGGCTTTTGCATGCCCGCTGAAAGGTCCGACTGACCGTTAGTTATATAAGCTAGTATAATACATAGGGCATGCTGACTTGGCAGTTTATCCTGGGGCAGAGTTTAAAATTCTGGATCACCCTTTCTGGCAGCCTTGGCGAGCTCTTCTCTAGATTCGCTATACAATATGCAAACTAATTAACAAAGCGCCTCTGAGCATGGGCAAAGGATTTAAATATACCCAGCTAGCACTCCTTTGGGTTGTCTCCCAGCTGCCGCAGGCAGGTGGTGTAACAAATCTGGTCCCCCTTCACCCCGCTTTTCCAGAAACGAATGTAAAGGCGAGGCATCCAGCCTGGAGGAAAGTGGTAAAGAGAGGAAGGGATCTCTTAGGAATTTGCTGCAACAGGTTCAATGGGAAGGGACTCAGTCTGGGTGGGTTTTGCCCAGAAACCTCCCTAATGCCTACTAAGAGCTGCCCAGTAGGAAAATAGACTGGGGCCTGTGCATGGGTGGAAGCGGGTAGAAAAGAAACTATTCTGGGATGCCCAAACAGGAGCAAATGCAGCTGCCGTTCGGAGCCATTTCCATGACCCCTTGGTGCCATTCCCATGGCCACTCGGAAGCATTCTCCATGGCTAAAGTGAAAGCTCTTTGTTAATCTAAGGAACTCACTGCCACAGGAGGCAGCGATGGCCAACCAAGGTGGTGTAAAAAGAGGATTCGACAGAAACATGGAGGAGAGGGCTGTCAATGGCTCCTAGCCAGGATGGTAAGCTCTGCCTCCTCTACAGCTGCAGGCAAGAATGCTTCTGAAAACCAGTTGCTAGAAACCATAGGGGGAGAGAATGCTGCTGTGCTTGAATCCTGCTTGCTGGTTTACCACAGGCATCTGGTTGGCCACTGGGAGAACAGGATGTTGGGCTAGACAGGCCATTGGCCTGATCCAGCAAGCCAGGCATAGGCAAACTCGGCCCTCCAGATGTTTTGGGACTACAGCTCCCATCATCCCTAGCTAACAGGACCAGTGGTCAGGGATGATGGGAGTTGTAGTCCCAAAACATCTGGAGGGCCGAGTTTCCCTATGCCTGCAGCAAGCTCTTCTTGGGTTCGTATGTCATATAGTGTCTTTCCCATAGACAACGCATGTCATTCCCATGGCCACCTGGTGTCATTCCCATGGTCACCTGGCGTCATTCCCATGGGCATTCACTGTCATTCCCATGGCCACCTGTGTCATTCCCATGGACATTCACTGTCATTCCCATGGCCACCTGGTGTCATTCCCATGGACATTCACTGTCATTCCCATGGTCACCTGGTGTCTTTGCCATGGCACCTGGTGCCATTCCCATGGGCATTCACTGTCATTCCCATGGCCACCTGGTGTCATTCCCATGGCCACCTGGTGTCATTCCCATGGACATTCACTGTCATTCCCATGGTCACCTGGTGTCATTCCCATGGCCACCTGGTGCCATTCCCATGGGCATTCAGTCATTCCCATGGCCACCTGGTGCCATTCCCATGGGCATTCAGTCATTCCCATGGTCACCTGGTGTCATTCCCATGAGCATTCACTGTCATTCCCATGGCCACCTGGTGTCTTTCCCAGGTTATTCAGTATCATTCCCATGGCCACCTGGTGTCATTCCCATGGCCACCTGGCGCCATTCCCATGGACATTCACTGCCCTTCCCATGGCCACCGGATTCACTCCCATGGGCATTCGCTCTCATTCCCATGGCCAATCGATGTCCTGCCAATGGTCACCCAGCTGCCACTCGCCTTCCCACTTCCCTTATGCATGGATGCCAACCTGCCTTCCTGTCCTGCGAGATCCGAGGACCCCTCCTCCGCTTTCCCTTCCCTGCCGCTCACCTGGCAGCTCCAGCAGCGACTGGAACTCCCAGCAGTTGTAGACGCCCGTGGAGTCGGTGGCGCAGCTCTGCCACAGGTTCTCGAAGATGGTGGAGGTGGTAATGACGTTGCCGGAGATGGTGGAGACCCTCCAGTAGCTGTTGAAGAGCGTGATCCCCAACATCCCGCAGCCGATGGTCGCCATGAAAAAACCGACGGTCTCCAGCATCACAGACATGGTGATGTTGAGGAGGAGGAGGAGGACGGCGAGAGGAGGATGGCGATGGCAAAGGCAGATTATGGGATGGCGAGAACCGGGAGGGGAGGGGTGGGTGGTCTGGCAAGCAGGCAGGCAAAAGGGAGAAGCTCCGACGGCGAAGACGCGCGGCTGCAGCAGTGACACCCTTCGTCGAGGTTTCCTTTGGACTCGGATACTGCGCGGGCTGGCAGGTAAAGGCAGAGGCAGCCCCCCCTCCAAGTGACGTCAGGATCTGGACCAAAGTCCACCCCCCTCTAAGAGGCATGGGGAGGAGGGATCAAGAAGGCAGGTGCTTTTGGGGTGGGGAGAATAGCGGGGGTGGAGCCGCAGTGAAAGTTTCCCCCCTCCCACCCACACACTTTCTCTCCAGATGTTTGAATGCGCTCGCAGGATCGGGCAGGACGATCGCGTATCTGCTCGGGCAACGCTCCTTTTTGTAATGGGGGGGGGGAGGCGGGAGATGTAAGACGCTACGTGTGTGTCACAGACTTGCACAGGCACCCAAGAACGCCCCCAGTCTTCTTTCAGGTCCGGGAAAGGCGTGGGAGGGTGATGAAGATCCGGCGCGCGGAGCGCAGCGACCCCTTGGACGCGAGAGTCCCGTTAATATTGGACAGTTTCGCTACCTGTCCTGCTAAATTTAACAACCCGAGACGGACATGAGACGGTCCTTTGTGTGTGAGACACTGGGATGAGTCAACGCTCCTGGATCCGGCCACACGCAGAGTCCGCTGTGCCGGTTGCACAATATATTAGACCATCGAATTGCATTGTATTCCACGGAGCTTCCTCCTTGGTTAGGGCGCGCAGGAGTGCGGCACGATGCTTACTGATAACGCTGAACGCACATTTAAAGCCCTTGGGGGGGTTTCTCAAAAGCATCCTGGGAACAGTAGTATTTTTAAGGGTGCTGGGAGCCGCGATCTACAATTCCCAGGATTCTTTGCGGGGGGAGTCATTAAATTCTGGAGCGCATCCTCGAACTCCGGTGAAGAGAATGGAGGCGAGATGTGTCCTTGCATGTATAGCCTACTGTACAAAGGTGAGAGTCACGCTTTGCCTCTGGCTCTGCCCACTTTTTTTTACCTCTCATCCTGTTCGCCACTGACACGTGTCAGAGATTGGGAAGAAAGAAGGGGATCATGGTCATAGACAGGCTTTATGTTGGGGGGGGCAGAACCTCCGTTAGTTAAGTATTTTTATTGATTTACTTGATTTAGGGAAGCAGCTGCCCCCCTGTCCCCCTTGGCTATGCCCAAGGGGGGGATTGTAGAATCTTAGAGTCAGAAGGGACCTAAGGGTCATCTAGTCCAACCCCCTAAATTTTCCTTCTTTTACATAGTGTGTGTGTAGGGTTTTTATGCCAGCGTCACATGAATAGGTTCTTCATCCATCCATTTGTCAGTATTCATTGGCGGTAAGCAAGATTGGGGAGCCCAGGGCCTGGTCGGTTGCCTTGGGTTGACTGCAGGGAGTTTTGTTTGCATGAGAGGGGGGAGGGGTTGTAGGGTCAAATTAGCCATATCAATTCGTATGCTGCTGGCGGGGTTATGTGTGCAATAAAGGGGAGCCACACTGGGGCGAAGGCATCCTCTTCCGTTTGTCCCCGTGCCGATTTCAATTCAGCAGGGCTCTTTATGAAGTCTTTATCATCTTAACTTTGGCTGGATCAAGGCCCACATTTGCTGAATTGGAATCTCTCTCCCTCCCCACTCCTCTCATAATAAGCCTGAGCTACACATGTTGTTGGGTGACCCTGGTGTTAGAGGCTCTGTGTCTGTGTGTGTGTGTGTTACCATCTGCTTCCTAGCTTTCCATCCTGTGTTTGCTTTCCGTATGTGCTTCCTAGAACATTTTCCTATTTGCCATGTGGTCCCCCACCTTCCTCCCATTTATTTATTTAATATATAGTCCTCAAATAGAGGACATATCAGATATTAAACTGATAAGAACAGATACTACACTTGATCTTAGCCAAAAGGCCCAAGGGAAATGGTACACATAGAAAGCCAGAGACAGATTTAATTGTCTTTGACGAAGACCCCCGATGGTCCCAGCAATTCAGAAAACAGCGTCGATGCCGGGAAATTGGGAAAATGCTGCGAATCAACCCCGAGAACAACAACACAGTGCATATCCTAAGAACGGTTGAGAGAGCTGATAACAATTTCCCCATCACAATGAAGCCAAGCCAGTTATGGAACGAGCAGCCTTAACTTCATCTCATGGAACATAGCGGGTTGGGCCAACAAACTAGGGGACGAGCCATTTCGTGAATATATAATGGGGTTTGACATAATAGTGCTGCAGGAAACTTGGGCAACTGACAACATAGTTTTCGACGGTTACGACACCTATGAAATCAAGGCCTCTAAACCGCTCGGAAGGGGACGACCGAGGGGGGGCCTAGTATCTCTGGTTTCCACTCAATTGGCGTCACAAGTTACTGAGTGCTCAGTTTTCGAGCAGCTGGCACTGGGGATCACTTTGCATCTGGAATCCAAGAGTATCATTCTTGTTTCAGCTTATATCCCACCATATACAGTGCAAACACAGATAGAGAGTACGTGGCGTAAATTCCATAGTTCCCTTTATTCCCTACAAATTAGGCACCCTGGATCGCCTTTTTACCTAATGGGAGATATGGATGCCAGAATAGGCTCAAATGATGATAGCCTGGAAATAAAATTCCCAATATTAAGAGATCTAAAGGAAAATAGCGCCCTCTTTCTAAACCCACCCCCATGTAGACATTCGAAAGATTGCCAAATCAACTATGCTGGATTCTGCCTGGCTCTTTTACAAATAAGCCTTGACCTCATCATTGCTAATGGGGCATTCCCCGGGGACAGAGAAGGCGAGTACACATTCATAAATACAAATGGAGCCAGCACAGTAGACTACTGTCTCACTAACAGAGAGGCCTTCGAATCAATTAAAAAATTCACCATAGATAATAGGACTGAAAGCGACCACCTACCTCTAATCATCTCCACTACTGGCCAAAATTCAATTCAGCGCTCTCACATAGAACATGAGGTCATAGATAAAGCAAATTATCCAGCATTGCGTAGGAAAAAATGGACACCTGAGATAGCAATTGCAGTTGAGAATAGATTGAATTCACAAACTGCAATTAAGTTAAGATCAATTATAATAAACAATCTATCAATAGACTCCTCCCTGACGGCTTATGAAAATCTCATTGAGTCCTTGCAGGATGTGGTTTCGGTTAACATAAACTCAGCCGGCAAGCCACGCACTGCAAAAGGGCGCGGTTGGTTTGACCAAGAGTGCCACACAAAGAAGGAAGCCTTAAGGAACGCTTATTTGGCCTATAGAAACGCTGGATTAAACTACTTACCTCCATCTTATTTCAAAATCAAAAAAGAGTATAAAGCCCTTTTGGCCTAAAAAAAAAGGCAGTCCGAACAAAATTCCTGGTCCCTGCTATTGAATGCCTCACTAAACAATGAAACTAAACTCTTTTGGCAACTGGTCTCCGACTCAATGAAAAATAGTTCCTCAGCCCCCAGCTGTGCCATTCCAGCTCAGGTTTGGGAGAACCACTTCAGAAATATATTTATGGAAAATCCAAACCTCCTTTCCAGCTTCCAGGATGATGACAGGGCAGAATTGTCACTGCTCCCTAATTGGAGGCCGGTTACTGTGGAGGAAGTCCATACATTAATTGGGAATCTGAAGAGTGGAAAGGCTCCGGGGAAAGACTTTATCCCAGCAGAGTTGATTACATCAAACCAGCACTGGTGGGCTCCGCTTCTGGCAGCACTCTTTACGGTAGTAAATAACTCGGGTAAGGTACCATATAGCTGGAAACATGCTATAGTAGTTCCAATCTTTAAGAGAGGCCACCCAAATGTACCTTCCAATTATAGGCCAATTAGCCTGCTCTCAATAATTGGGAAGCTGTATGCCCGTTTCCTCAGTAGCAAACTGACAACTTTTCTAAATGAACACAATATACTATCTGAAGTCCAGGCAGCTTTCCGTGAGAACCATTCAACATCAGACCACTGTCTAATGCTGTCCTTCCTAGCTGAGAAGTATACCAGGCCTCTACAGGGTAAACTCTTCGTGGCCTTTATGGATCTGAAATCAGCATTTGACTCCATCCCCAGATTCCAGCTATGGTCCAAATTAAGTCTGATTTTGCAGGACAAACAACTTCTCTTTCTCATAAAAGCCCTGTACAATGGAACCAAACTGCAGGTCCGATGTGGTCGACAGGGACAGCTATTGAACAGCATCGAGATGACTAGGGGGGTGAGACAGGGTTGTATTTTGGCCCCCACATTGTTTTGTCTATTCTTAAATGACCTAGAAGAGAACTTAATGGACCCAGATGGACACATTCCAAAAAGAGGAATGAGAAGGACCCCTCTGTTGTTATATGCTGATGACGCGGCCATCATCTCACGTTCCAGACCGGGTTTGAATTACCTGTTGAGGAAATTTTCTGATTACTGTTCTGGAAATGGTTTATCCATTAATTATGAAAAATCTAAAATTTTAGTCTTCGAAAGAAGCTTCTCCCGGGCTAAATGGGTGCTGGATGGCCATAACCTTGAACAGATAAAATACTTCAGTTATCCAGGGCTCACATTCCATCATACAGGATCTTGGAAGCACCATTGGCAAACCTCCCTTCAAAAGGCGGAGATTACAAAGCTAGCCATACATAGATTCTTCTTCACAAAGGGCGGCAAATATGTTCCAGCAGCCTTAAGGGTTTTCAATGCAAAGCCCGTTTCCCAACTCCTGTATGCAGCAAATGTCTGGCATAATGGAGACCTGCTAAAGCTAGATGGCTTTCAGGCAAAATTTATAGGATCTCTGCTGCAGGTACCTCTGTTAGAAGCTGGTGAATGCCCAATTTCAACTAAAGCGTGGTGGGCTGCCCTAAAACATTGGCTCAGGATTTCAGTGTTTAATCTAGGGAAGGGTCTGTACCAACATCTGACCAATGAGGAATTTGTCAGCAAATGGCAGGAAACCATGGCTAGAAAAGCCACCTCTATTGGTCTGTCTCTCCCCCCCCCCAACTGTATTACCTGGGTTATGAAGGCACCCAAAAGGTTTTAAAGCAAAGATTATGGGACAATGCACACAGTGACTTGCGATCTCAATCACATGCAGTCTGTAGTCCGCTGGCAGCAGGAGTTCAATATGTGTATGTCTTTAAGTTAACATCTTACATTAAAAACCTGACAGTATCTAACTACCGAAGGCGTTTCACCAAAGCCAGACTAAATGTCTTCCCCTCTGCAGTGTTGGATGGTAGGTTGAGAGGAGTTCCCTACCAGGACAGACTTTGCTCGTGTGCTCAAGACATCAATTCCATAAATCATATTTTGTTGTATTGTGCAAAATACGAGCAGGCCAGGGCTGAACTGATACTACCCTTGCTGGTACCATTCCCCGGGATAATCAGAGGCTCACTTTGTCAGGTTCCTACTGGAAGACCAGACAAAAGCTAGAACGTTAGCAGTGGCAAAGTTTTTATCAGTGGTTGCAAGAACAAATGACCCCTATATTCTGAACGAAATGCTTGTTTAACCTGGAAGTAGGCTGTATGAACTGTGTATTGATTTGTAATGTTTTGTTGGGTCTCTGGACCGTAATAAAGATTGTTGTTGTTATTTAAAATGTCAGCTTCCCGGAGCTTGATGTTTTACATGCCGGGATCCTGTACCCCATTGAACCATATTACAATACCAGGATTCCATGGTGCCATCCATGGGGAAGCATCATCAATGGGATTGTGTCATCTCCTTGCTCTCCAGGTGACACTTTGCTCATATCATGTCCCTCCATGCTGGCTGAAGGGCACGGGGGTGCTTCTGAGCATGTGCAGAGTGAAATATCCTCTCTGTTAATGCAGGCAGGAACTAATGCTCTGATTCAGGAGGACAGATAGGTCCACAAAACAGATTTCCAACAACAATTTTAAAAAATGCATATGCTAATTTACATGCATTGATGCCACTGGTTGGGGGAATGGATGGCAAGATTGAGGCTGCATCTGAACTATACATTTAAAGCAATATCCTACTACTTTAAAGAGTCATGGATTCCCCCAAATAATCATGGGAACTGTAGTTTATTGCTTGGTACAGAGAGGACTTGTTGTTGTTTAGTCGCTTAGTCGTGTCCGACTCTTCGTGACTCCATGGACCAGAGCACGCCATGCACTCCTGTCTTCCACTGCCTTCTGCAGTTTGGTCAGACTCATGTTTGTAGCTTCGAGAACACCATCCAACCATCTCGTCCTCTGTCGTCCCCTTCTCCTTGTGCCCTCCATCTTTCCCAACATCAGGGTCTTTTCCAGGGAGTCTTCTCTTCTCATGAGGTGGCCAAAGTATTGGAGCCTCAGCTTCAGGATCTGTCCTTCCAGTGAGCACTCAGGGCTGATTTCCTTCAGAATGGATAGGTTTGATCTTCTTGCAGTCCATGGGACTCTCAAGAGTCTCCTCCAGCATCATAATTCAAAAGCATCTTCAGCGATCAGCCTTCTTTATGGTCCAGCTCTCACTTCCATACATCACTACTGGGAAATGAGAGGGCTTAGGAGACCCATATTCTCCTCGCAGTGACACAGTTCAGAGTGGTTTAACAGTCTATCCCTCTTAAGAGAGAGCTCTGGAAAACTGTGACTCTGTGAGGGGAATAAGGGACTCCTAACCACTCTCAGCACCATAAACAAGCTACATTTGCCAGGGTTATTTGGTTTAGAGTGGTATAATAGTGCACTGAATGTAAGATGCAGAAGTGACCCAAGCAGAGGAAGAGGTGGGCTAAGGGCTAAACAGCCACTTTAGTTTGAACCCCCTCCCCAAGGCCCCTTTATAGAACTAAACCAAAATGTAATAAAATAGTGTGCAAGCTTTAGCATCCAACAGAACTCTTCAGCAAAGCAAGATGGGGGCAGGTGAGAAAGAGGAAAACGCTGGCCTGACACTGAAGCTGTAGCCGG